ACTACGATTCCTACTACTACTACTACCACCACTACTACTACTACTACTACTACTACTACTACTACTACTACTACTACTGCTACTACTACGATACTACTACTACTACTACTACTACTACTACTACTACTACTACTACTACTACTACTACTACTACTACTACTACTACTACTACTACTACTACTACTACTACTACTACTACTACTACTACTACTACTACTACTACTACTACTACTACTACTACTACTACTACTACTACTACTACTACGACTAGCTTCGACCCACCCCCATCGCTGTGCCCCACGGCCTGCAGGCACCCGACGCAGCTTGGGTGGTCCTCGGCCCACGCCCCGGGTCCATCCCCACGTGAGCGTCGGGTCTTACGCGAGACGACGTAGCGACCTTACGCGGCGGCTTACGCGGGCCGCCAGCGCGGCACGTTACATCGGGAACGAGAGCGCCTTCGCGCGAGCTTACGCGGGCAGCTTACGCGCCAATGTCGGTGAAAACGACCCCGTTTTTTGTTGCGTCGCTCACGTGTTTCTCGAGGCGGACCCAGCCGTGGCAACGGGAAACCTCCAAAAGGACGAGAGACCGTTTTTTGCTTGCCGACCCCCCTCGCCGTGCCCCACGGTCTGCAGGCACACGACGCAGTTCGGCTGGTCCTCAGCCGCCGTCGGCGGAAAGAGCTCGTCGAACAGCTCCTTGCCCAGGGGCTTCCCCAGCACCGTGGGTGCGGGCTGCGCCCTCGGCCTGCGGGGAGGGGCAGCGCTGGGGGGGCAGACCCACGGGCTCAAGGCTCGACTGTTTCGTCCTGCGTGGCCCTCCTGGGGGCTTCCCGCTGCCACGGCCGAGTCCGCCTCGGAAGGCGAATCAAGATGGACGCCGGGAGGGGGCCAGAGACCGATTCTGACCAGGTTTTGGCCGTCGTTCCTCGTCAGGGCTCGAAGCTCGAGGCCTGAGGTTTTGGGGCGTTTTCGTTGGCGCTCGGCGGTTTTCCGGCTTCTGGGTGCGTTCCAGCGGCTGCGCCTCGCCGAGGGCACTCGGGGGGTGCCTCGATCGTCCGCCTCAAGCAACCCACCACCGGAGGCCAGAAACTACGAGCTGAGCGCGGGCTCAGGGGTGGCTGAATCGGCGATGCATCGCCGATAGATAGACGATGGGCCCCCGATGGCGAAGCCGCACGCTCTTGGGCGGGGGTGGGCTGTCGGGCATCCATCGGCGATGGGTGGACGACCGGACGTCGATGCATTCACCTCGTGAGCATAGCCCCCTATGACGTTGCCCCCTTGTTTTCGGGCCATAGCTCGGCTCTCTGGTGGCCGTTCAGGACCCCTGGAACGTTCTCGACGAGGCGCCGCTGCTGAATGAACAAGATCCCGCGAGCTGGGGAAAGCTGCCGAGAACCGACGAAAACATCCGAAAACGAGGGGAATGAGGACCACAATCCGCTCAAAATCGATCCCTGGCCCCCTCCTGGGGTTCATCCAGACCTGTTTTCCGAGGCGGGCCCAGCCGTGGCAAGGCGAAGCCTCCAGGAGCCCCAAGAAGCAAGAGGAAAAACAAATCAAGGTAGGGCCGCCACCGTCTCTGTCTTTCCCCCCTGAGCCTGTTCCCCAACGTTGCCCCGGAGCGTTCCTTCGACAGGTGACATTCCTCCTCCACCTCCTCCTCCTCCTCCTCCTCCTGCTCCTCCATTTCTTCCTCCTCCTCCTCCTCCTCCTCCTCCTCCTCCTCCTGCTCCTCCTCCGCTTCCTCCTTTTCCTCCTCCTCCTCCTCCTCCTCCTCTTCATCCTCCTCCTGCTCATCATCATCATCATCATCATCATCATCATCATCATCATCATATCATCATCATCATCATCATCATCATCATCATCATCATCATCATCATCATCATCACATCATCATCATCATCATCATCATCATCATCATTATCATCATCATCATCATCCTTTTCCTCCTCCTCCTCCTCCTCTTCATCCTCCTCCTGCTCATCATCATCATCATCATCATCATCATCATCATCATCATCATCATCATCATCATCATCATCATCATCATCATCATCATCATCATCATCGTCATCATCGTCATCATCATCATCATCACCACCATCATCATCGTCATCATCGTCCTCCATCATCACCACCACCATCAGTACCATCATTATCATCATCATCATCATCATCATCATCATCATCATCATCATCATCACCAAATCACCATCATCATCACCACCATCACCATCATCATCATCATCATCATCATCATCATCATCATAATCGTCATCATTCTCATCATCACCACCAATCATCATCATCACCATGATCGTCATCGTCATCGTCATCGTCGCCGTCGTCGTGAACGTCATCGTCATGGTCATCGTCATCGTTGTCGTCGTCATCGTCATCGTCATCGTTACCGTCATCGTCATCGTCATCGTCGTCATTGTCATCGTCATCGTCATCGTCGTCATCATCATTGTCATCGTCATCGACATCGTCATCGTAGTCGCCGTCGTCATCATCACAATCACATCGACTCACCATCACCATCATCATCATCATCATCATCATCAGCATCAGCATCAGCATTAGCATCAGCATCATCACCATCACCACCACCGCCACCACCACCATCATCAACAACAGCAACAACAAAAATTATCCTGGCGAAGGACCCAACCATATGCAAACGTGAATACCGCAGGGCAGGTGGGACGAAGCAAAAGGAATTCCCAATGTGGCCACGAACCGTGTGAGGGGTGCGCCACACTGGGGCGGGGCCGCCATGCGAACCCTGCCACTGAGGCCTTCGGTGGAGCTCCCTATGTCCCTGCGGGGCCACGAACCGTGTGAGGGGTGCGCCAATATGGGGCGGGGCCGCCATGCGAACCCTGCCACTGGGGCCTTCGGTGGAGCTCCCTATGGGGCCACGAACCGTGTGAGGGGTGCGCCAAAATGAGGCGGGGCCGCCATGCGAACCCTGCCACTGGGGCCTTCGGTGGAGCTCCCTATGGGGCCACGAACCGTGTGAGGGGTGCGCCAAAATGGGGCGGGGCCGCCATGCGAACCCTGCCACTGGGGCCTTCGGTGGAGCTCCCTATGGGGCCACGAACCGTGTGAGGGGTGCGCCAAAATGGGGCGGGGCCGCCATGCGAACCCTGCCACTGGGGCCTTCGGTGGAGCTCCCTATGGGGCCACGAACCGTGTGAGGGGTGCGCCAAAATGCGGGGCCGCCATGCGAACCCTGCCACTGGGGCCTTCGGTGGAGCTCCCTATGGGGCCACGAACCGTGTGAGGGGTGCGCCAAATGGGGCGGGGCCGCCATGCGAACCCTGCCACTGAGGCCACTGGGCCTTCGGTGGAGCTCCCTATGGGGCCACGAACCGCCACTGTGAGGGGTGCGAGGCGGGGCCGCATGCGAACCCTGCCACTGGGGCCGGTGGAGCTCCCTATGGGGCCACGACCCGTGCGCGAAAATGGGGCGGGGCCGCCATGCGAACCCTGCCACTGGGCCTTCGGTGGAGCTCCCTATGGGGCCACGAACCGTGTGAGGGGTGCGCCAAAATGGGGCGGGGCCGCCATGCGAACCCTGCCACTGGGGCCTTCGGTGGAGCTCCCTATGGGGCCACGAACCGTGTGAGGGGTGCGCCAAAATGGGGCGGGGCCGCCATGCGAACCCTGCCACTGGGGCCTTCGGTGGAGCTCCCTATGGGGCCACGAACCGTGTGAGGGGTGCACCAAAATGGGGCGGGGCCGCCATGCGAACCCTGCCACTGGGGCCTTCGGTGGAGCTCCCTATGGCGCCACGAACCGTGTGAGGGGTGCGCCAAAATGGGGCGGGGCCGCCATGCGAACCCTGCCACTGGGGGCTTCGGTGGAGCTCCCTACGGGACAACGAACCGTGTGAGGGGTGTGCCGAAATAGAGGCATGCGGAGGGTGATGCTGATGATGACGCCGAATATCATGGTGATGTTGATGATGACGATGATGGTGATGACGATGATGATGATGATGATGATGGCAGGAGGGAGGGGGCAGCGGGAGGAGGAGAAGGAGGGAACGCGGGGCACCGTCTCTTCAAAACGAGGACCCAACACCACAGGATGGTTGGGAACAACAATATCATCATCATCATAATTCTCGTCAGAATCATGAGCAGCATCATGAACATCAGCATCATCATCACCATCACCATCACCATCACAATTACCATAATCATACATCCCCAGGCCGAAAGTTGTTCCTCTTGCATGGGAACGCGTGGATCCTGTTGGATCCAATCACGTGTGTGCGAGAGTCACGTGGGTCCAATTTCCGTGTCGTCTGGATCCAATTTTTTGACGTGGAAGCTTCGTGGATCAAATTCTGTTCCTGGAATGAATTTATAATACTAATTACTACAGGGGACCCAAGGGGAAATGGATCCATGGAGCCTTGGACCTGCAGCCCAAACTATGATTCTACGGGGGAGGGGTTACCCTACCGAGAGACACAACACACGGGGACGAGTAGGGAAACACAAACCAGAGGCGAGCGAAGAGGAATATGAGGGAGGAAGGACGGAGAGGAGGGAGAGGACGACGACGAGGAAGACGAGGAGAGACGAGAAAGAGGAAGAGGGCAAACGAATAGTCAGTGGGAGGGGGGGAGGAGAGCGGAGGAGGGAGGAAGAGGAGGGAGGAGGGAAGTGGAAGGGAGGCGGGAGAGGAGGAGGGCGGAGGGAAGAGGAGGACGACGAGTGAGGGGGAGGGAGGTAAGGAGGGCGGGAGGATGAAGAGGTAGGATGGACGAGGAGGAGGAGGAGGATGAGGAGGAGGAGGAAGGAGGAGGGAGGAGGACGAGGAGGGAGGAGGACGAGGGAGGACGGAAGAGGCGGATGAGGGAGAAGGGAGGAGGAGGGAAAACGACCGCGGTGCCCAAGTCGGGAGCTCGAGCGCCACAGCGGGCCTGGCCACCTCTCCGAACCCCTCCCATAACATGTCGTTGCTCGAGCGCCACAGCTGCCCCAGCCAACTCCCGCAGCCTCCATAACATGTGGGTGCTCGAGCGCCACAGCGGGCCTGGCCAACTCCCGCAGCCTCCCATAACATACGCCGCGCCCCACCTCGACGCGAGCGCGATATGGTCGCTGCGTCCGCATCCGCTAAAGTCAACGACACTTCGCATTGGTCATCTGGGCATCAAGAGGCAAATCTTTCGGCCTGTTCAAGCGTCGTCATCATCATAATTAGCATCATCATCATCATCATCATCATCATCATCATCAGCATCATCATCATCATCATCATCATCATCATCATCATCATCATCAGCATCATCATCATCATCATCAACAGCATCATCATCATCAGCATCGTCATCATCATCATCATCATCATCATCATCATCATCATCATCATCATCGTCATCGTCATCATCATCATCATCATCATCATCATCATCATCGTCGTCGTCATCATCATCGGCATCATCATCATCAGTATCATCAGCATCACCATCATCAATAATCATCATCCGTATCATGATCATCATACGTATCCTCACCCTCATCATAATCAGAATCATCATCCTCATCATCATCATCATCATCCTCATCCTCATCCTCATCCTCCTCCTTATCATCATCCTCGTCCGCCTCCTCATCCTCCTCATCATCATCATCATCATCGTCATCATCATCGTCATCATTACCACCACCACTACTCATCATCATCATCATCATCATCATCATCATCATCATCATCATCATCATCATCACCATCATCATCATCATCATCATCATCATCATCATCATCATCATCATCATCTGCCCCTGACTGGCCTGGGCGCCGACAGGAAGAAACTGCAGAGGCCGCCCTTGACGCGGGCAAAGTACGCCAGCAGGCAGACCGACCCGAGCAGGCTGACCACGCAGGCGACGTCGATGATGCCCCTGCTGTCCTGGGAGGGTCGAGGTTCGAAGTGCGAGGCTCGACGTCTTGAATATTTTATCGCACTTTCCGGGCCTCTGGGTGGCTGCTTGTCGACACGGCTGGATTCCCCTCGAATTTCCTCTCGGAGCTCACCCCTGGACGGGTCTGGGGGTCGACCGAAACCCAGAGGATGCCCCTGCCGTCGAGGAAGCTCCTGCTGTCCTAGAAGTTCCTGATCGCGCCCTCGCGCCGCACCCTCGGAGAAAGGCAGCCGAGGTCTCGACCCGTTCCATGGGACGCATTTTTCTTCCCGCGTCGTTTTGTTGACGGCCCCGAGGCCAGGCGAGGGCCCTCGGAGGCTGCAAACACCAAAAGTATGTTTTCCATGTCGCCAACAAGCGATTATGCTCGCGCCCCCGCGCCGCACCCTTAGAGAAAGGCAGCCGTTCGGGTCCAGACCGCGACGCGAGATTATTTTCGTTCCCCCGCGACCTACGGTGGAGGCCAGTCCACAAGAAACCGTCCACAAGAAACCTAACCCTGAGACCCCAGGACGTCCATCGATGTTTGGTGTGGGAACGTCACAGTTTCCATCGCAAAACCACCGAAACCCAAGAAACCCAGGGCACCCTGGAGGCAAGCAGGGTGCTGCTTGGCGTGGGTCTAAGCACAAATGTTCGACACTCCGCGCAGAGTTTTTGGATCGGCGCTGGACCCCCCTGGCGGCACCTCTGACGCCGCCGCTAGCGCCCTCCGCGCGCCAGGGAGGGGGATCCATCGCCAATCCAAGAAATCCGCGCAGACCTCTGGAAGTTTATGCTTAGAGTCTACCAGGCTTGGCCACGATTACACCTTGACCGCGAACCCACCTGCGGTGGCCGTCAATCCCACCCGCAAGCCACCCCACCATAAAGATCATTTCTCCCCTCGTTATAACCACATCGAATACAACCTTCCACGACGACGACGACGACGACGACGACGACGACGACGACGACGACGACGACGACGACGACGACGACTGCGACGCTGATGCGATCCAGTTGGCACGCGAGTGCTCTAACGGGACCGCTCCCTCTGCCAGAACATGTGCACAGAACAGCACTGACAAGAAGAACATACAATGACAAATGATGAGGCGGAGATGAGTGGGGAGGTAGACAGACAGACAATCGAGACACACCCGAGAGAACTGTTAAACTTCAACACCCGTGTGCCCCATACAAGCGAAACGGGTCGGGCAGACGGACCCTGACGAGCGCGTCGGATCGGGTCGGGCGTTGGCACGCGAGTACCCTAACGGACGGGACGGGTCGGGCAGGCAAAACGGACGGGACGGGTCGGGTCGGGCGAAAGAGATTCAGCACGCATGCGCAGCAAATGCTATTTTTTGAAATAGATGGATCGGCTCGCAACGGGGGCCGGGCACTTTGTATGGTAAAATACTAGAGATTCTGCACGCATGCGCAGCAAGTGCTATTTTTTGCACTAGATGGAACGGGGTCGCAACGGGGGTCGGGCACCTTGTCTTGTAAAATACAAGAGTTTCTGCACGCATGTGCAGCAAATGCTATTTTTTGCGGTAGATGGAGCCGGGTCGCAACGGGGGCCGGGCACTTTGTAGTGTAACTTACAAGAGATTATGAACGCATGCTCAGCAAATGCTTGTTTTTGCAGTAGATGAAGCCGGTTTGCATAACGCCCGGTTTTGTAGTTGTCAGGGTTTAATAATTATAGGATTAAAAATCAAGACGCGTATTGAGGACGGGTGGCAAGGACGCAAGACCGTTGGAGGCCGAAACTGGATTTTGGGGGGCGACGGGCGACCAGTGAAAATGGCAAAGAATGGGCCGCAGAGCAAAGGACACATGGGCACCCTAGATGAAGGCGAGCGTCATTGCTAGGCGCGTGGGCTGTACGTCGATTTCTCTCCCTCGTCCCAGGCATCCGACGAGATGTGTTTTTTGTTCCATCCCTAGAAAAAGGAAAAGCCATATAAACATAAACCTTTGGCGCTCAGTGCGGATTTCCTGGATTCGAGCTGGACCCCCCTCCCTGGCGCGCGGAGCGCGCCAGGGGCGGCGCCGGAGGCGCCGCCGGGGGGCCCAGGCGCGGGTCGAGAAATCTGCCTGGAGCGCCAACCGAAAGTTCATGCTTCTGTGACTTTGTTTTTTCTCCGATCCCGGCGCTCTTCCGTCACTGTGGCCTCTGCGGGGCCAGCTGCCGGGCCCCAGTGAGGGCCAGCCGAGGGGGGCCCGGGGCGCCGAGCGGCCCCCGGGGAGCGGGGGTCGGCCGCCCTGGGGCCGCGGACCCTCCCCCGAAGAGGATCGGATCTGAGGGTGTCTGGGGGGGGGGAGAAGTGGTGGAAAAGTGTTCCCACCACCACCACCGCCGTAAGCTGGAGGGGGGAAGGAGGAGGAGGAGGAGGAGGAGGAGGAGGAGGAGGAGGAGGAGGAGGAGGAGGAGGAGAGGGGGAGGGAGGGAGGAGGGAGGGAGGGAGGGAGGGAGGGAGGGAGGGAGGGAGGGAGGAGGAGGAGAGGGAGGAGGAGGAGGAGGAGGAGGAGGAGGAGGAGGAGGAGGAGGAGGAGGAGGACCCCCTCCCCCTCCAACTTACGTTGGTGGTGGTCGAAAACAGGCCTATCAAGAGTGGGGAGGGTCAGGGGGAGGAGGTGCGAGAAGGAGAGGGGGGGGGGGGGGTAAGTCGTGCGAAGGACAGTCCAAGTACAGAGGCCTCCGAGATGGGGTCCGTCCCCCGCCGCATCGCCGATACATCGGCGATGCATCGACGATGCATCGACGATGCATCGCCGATCGCCGATGCATCGCCGATGCATCGGCGATGCGGCGCGATCCTCCGAACCCATCTACATCTACTCCGACCCCATCTAGGAGGCCTGGAAAGTAACGAGGGCAGTACACAGGACCAGAGTAACGAGTCCACATGTCGTCAGAGCACGAACGAATCGGCGAAGACCAACAGTAGTTACAGGGGGGCGAGTCCTTTAAACCAAAGGGTCGAGCAAGATGACGGCCAGGGTCAAGCTAAACTGGGATTTAACGACGGAGTCCGAGCGCAAAGTGGCGCGGTCCGGGAGGCGAACACGACACAAAATGAGCGTGGCTGGTAGGCAAACCTCCGAAGGGAGAGAGAATACGACGACGGCAAGGAGGAGGCAGACAAGCGAGCGAGAGAGGAGGCAGCACAGACAGACGGACGACAGACATGGTGAGGCTTCGAGTTGCGCGCAGACAGCCCCCCAGGCAGTCCTGGCTGGCCTCCGCAGGCCCCCCGGGTGGTCCGAGGAGGTCTCAACACAGCCCCAGGGCGCGGGGTACTGAGACCGCCTCGGACCGCCTGGGACTGCTCGAAGCGTCCAGAAGTTCGCAACTCATGGCCCGAGGCATGTGCACGGCCAGGGGGGGGGCCAGGGGACGTATCAAAATAAGAAAGGGCGCCATGGAATGGGGAACTATCATGGCCCTGTCCATGATGCCCCTCCCCAGCCCCTAGACATCCCGCCCAACACACCATATCCCACCGAAGCATCGGCGATGCATCGGCGATGCATCGGCGACGTCGGCGTCGGCGCCGACCGAAGATCACACATCTGATCATCATCATCCTCTTCCTCCTCCTCCTCCTCCTTCTCCTCCTCTTCCTCCTCCTCCTCGTTGTCGTCGTCGTCGTGGTCGTCGTCGTCGTCATCGTCATAATCATCATCATCATCATCAGCATCATCATCATCATCATCATCATCATCATCAGCAGCAGCAGCAGCATCAGCATCAGCATCAGCATCAACAACATCATCATCAGCATCACCACCATCATCACCACCATCACAAACCTCATCATCACAACCACCATAGTCATCATCATCACCACCATCATCATCACCACCACAATCATCATCACCACCATCATCACCACCACCATCAACATGACCATCATCACCACCACCACCACCATCATCAGCATCAGAAACATCATAAGCATCATCATCAGCATCATCGACATCATTACCACCACCACCACCATCATAACCACCACCACCACCATTACCTCAATCATCATCATCATCATCATCAACATCAACATCATCATCACCATCATCATCATCATCATCATCACAATCACCACTGCCTCCACCATGCTCAACATCATCATCACCACCTCCACCATCATAATCATCATCACCACCTCCACCATCATCACCATGATCAGCAACAGCATCATCATCAGCATCATAATCACCTCCACCATCATCACCACCACCATCATCATCATCAGCATCATCATCGACATCATCATCATAATCAGAATCAGCATCATCATCATTGGCATCATCATTGACATCATCATCATCATCATCATCACCACCTCCACCATCGTCATCATCATCATCACCACATCCACCATCATCATCATTATCATCCACCTCCACCATCATCATCACCAGAAGAGCCATCATCATCACCACCACAACCATGATCACCATCATCACCATCACCACTACCATCACCATCATCATCATCATCATCATCATCATCATCATCATCATCATCATCATGCTCATGCTCATCATCATGATCATCACCATCACCATCACCATCATCATCGTTATCATCATCATAACCGTCACCATCACCATCATCACCATCATCATCCTCACCATCGCCACCACCATCATCATCATCATCACCACCATCATCATCAACACCACCTCCACCGTCATCATCACCATCACCACCACCATCATCATCACCACCACCACCATCATCATCAGCCGCATCAGCTTCAGCATCATCATCGTCGTCACCATCATCATCACCACCGTTACCATCATCATCATCATCATCATCATCACCACCACTGTCACAATCATCATCATCATCATCATCATCATCATCATCACCACCACCAGAACCATCATCAACATCAACATCACTATCACCATAATCACCATTACCATCTCCGTCATCATCAGCATCATCAACATCACCATCACCATCACCATCATCATCCCCATCATCATTATCATCATTATCATCATCATGAGCAGCATCAGCATCACCAGCAGCATCATCATCGTAATCGCTCGAGCGCCCTAGAATATCCTAGAATTTCCCCGGACTTCCGCCTGCGAGCCGCCGAGCTCGCGCGCCGGCGCTCCCGGGACCGAGGCACTCGCCGCGGCGGCGGCAGCGGCCGCCGCGAGGGCGAGCCGCCAGGACGCCATCTCGCAGCAGCTTGGCCCTGGGCGCTGGCGCCTGGGTGGCGGGGGAGGAGGAGAAAGTTGTCGACCCTACCCTGAGATCTTGGTGTCGCGATTTTTGCGCCCGACTTCGAGCCTCAGGACCCTCACAGATCGATCCAGCTCGAAAGACGACGCAGAAATACAGGGTCTGGGGGTCGGATGGTGCCTTTTTGCGATGTTGCCCCCGTAACCAAAGAGACCCCATTCTCTCAATGTTCACGATAACGCCCGTTACTGGCCCCGTCCCGCCCCCCCCCCTCCCCCCCCTTGGTCACGTCACGATTCCCCACGGTCACGTCACGATTCGCGCCGGCGCCGTCTGGGAATGAGCCATTCCTAAGCATTCCTTGACGGCGCCGGCGCAAATCGACGTGACTGGCCCCTCTTCCCCCTGTTCACGCCCGCTGTCGCTAGGGAATTTGAAAAACGCTCTCCGAAAACATGGCTGCTCACTCATGCTGCACATAAACTGGCAACTCGCCGCCGCTGTGCTGCAAGTGTGGGCCCACGTCTCCACCGCAGAGCGGGGGGTGGGGGCCGGGAAGGGGCACGTGCATGCTACTCATTGTCTTAGGTCGCGCCTGTCCCTCTACAGGGGAATTTTGGACGAAAAATGACAATGCCCCAAAAATACTCCAACAATGGTCAAAAGTAGTCAAAAAATGGTCCCCAGACTATTTTGTGACTATTTTGGAGTATTCCTCCTGTAGAGGGACAAGCCCGACTTCATCCTTGACATGGGGGAGCAAAACACGGCATGAGCATCACGTGTCGGAGGTCCGCGCGGATTCATTGGGCCGGCGCTGGACCACCCTCCCTGGCGCGCGGAGCGCGCCAGAGGCGGCGCCGGAGGCGCCGCCCGGGGTGTCCCAACGTCGATCCAAGAAATCCGCGCGGACCTCCGAGAAATTATGTCTATGCCGTGTGCTGTTTTTCGGATGCCGCTCCTTGACGAAACCTTGCTCCAGTTTGTGGCCGCCGCGACCGCCGCGGCAACCTCCAAAGCCAAGTCGGAGGTTTGAACCGAACACATAGTACAAACATAATTGTATATATATGAGAGAATATATAAAAATGTATGTATGCATGTATGTGTGTATATATGTATATATGTATATATGCATGCACGCGTGATAGACAAAAGGCACCCGCCACGGAGATGACATTCTATCAGTCTTCCGAGCGCGGGCGTCGACCCTGGCAGGGCCGACGCGCACGGGGTACCAGTGTGTTTGGGCGGTGCCGATCCCAGACCTCCGACGCCTGAAAGCTACGGTTAGGTCAGACACGTCCCCCCTACAGGCCGAGCTTGGACGAAAAATAGGAAATACCCCCCAAACAATTCAAAAAAATTAAAAGAATCAGAAAATCGTCCTCGTACTATGTTTTGACTATCTTTGAATATTCCTCCTGTAGAGGGAAGGGACACGCCCGACCTAAAGCTACAAGTGTCCGAAACAATTAAACAGCACTACTCACGCACAACATATGGTGTGAATTCCCCCGCACCTCCCCCCGAATGCAATGTTGGGCTCGGATCTCCCGACTTTGAGTGTCGGACCAGTGTGGTGCGTGTACGTGCCAACTTTGAAGTGCGGGGGGAGAGGGGGAGTATTGCTTAGTTTTTGTCCCTCAACTGTAATGTTTCTCGCCGTCTTTCGCTTCCGGAGGCCCTCGCCAGGCCTCGGGACCGCCAAAAAAAGGGCCAGTATTCAAAGCTGGCGCCTGGGACAGGGTCGGGACTTCCAGGGACCCCGCAGCGAAAAAACAATACATCGGATCTCTTGGGAGAGTGTCGCCAGCTGGCGACCCCTGAGATCTGGGCATTGCGAATTTTCACGCCGGGTGTTTACGCCCAATTCGGGGCCTCGTGGCCATTACGACCCATGCCGAAAAATGCCGCAAAAGATCGGGTCCAGAGTGGTGGTCGTGTTTTTGCGATGTTGCATCTGTTCGCAACGTTGGATCTTACGTATTGCAGGGACCGCCACAACGACAATCGACATCTCCGAAGATATGTTTTTGTCCAATCCGGGCGTTCCTCGATTGCGGCCTCTGGGGCCCGTCATCGGGTCCGAGGTCAGGGGTTTCCTGACCCAGGTCAATCCAGGCCGAGGTCAGTCAGGCCTTGCAGAATCCTGCAAGATCCTGCACGATCCTGCACCCGAACCCGGGTCAAGGCGAAGGATCCTGCAAGATCCTGCAGGATCCTACGCCCACACTGGGGGTCAGTGCGACCCTGGCCCTGCCGGATCCTGCAAGATCCGGCGCTATGGCTGACCCCCGTTTGCATTGACCCCCGTCTCTTGAGCCCTGACCGAGGGCAATCAGAAACAGATCTGGGGCGGAAGACTACACCCACAGGGAAGGGGTAGGGAGCTCTGGGGCCGCGTAGTTTGAACAAAAAAACAGATCGTTGGACGACTGGGTGTCCAGCGCCACACAGCCACTTCCCCTGACATCAGGTCGGGCATGTCCTCCTACAGGCGAATTTTGGGCGAAAAATAAAACATACTCAAAAAATACTCCAAAACAATCAAAACTTGTAGAAAAATCGTCCACGTATTATTTTTCGCATATGTTTGAACATTCCTCCTATTGAGGGACACGCCCGGCTTAACCCTGATATCCTCGCGTCGTAGAATGATCACGTCGGATGGCTTTTGTGGCCGTTTTCGGCCTCTGGGGCCCCTCACTAACAGGCCCTAAAAAAGACGGTTCGAGGCATGAAGCGCCCGTCCCCGGGAAGGGGACCAGACCTCAGGGGAGCCACGCTGCGAAAAAAGATGGATGTCGCATGCCTGGGAAGGACCCACTGCGGTCTGCAAGGGCACCCGTACATCATCGTCGTCTCTGGCCGAGGCCATTCTGCGCCCTGGCATGGTGTATTCTCCTTGCTAGCTGAGGTCAGCATGGTGGCGTACAAGGCCTTCTGCGGAACCACGGGCCTGCTACCATTCGCAGAGAAAAAAACACGACCCGAACTCCGGGCCCAACACTGCTGCGGCACATGCGAAGCCGGGTCGACCTGTGATGGTCCCCGGGCCCGCAGCCGGGCGAAAACGCCCGGGGCAAACAGAGGTCCAGCGCCCACGGATCTTGGTGGCTTTTGGCGGCGCCCACAAAGGGGCAGGGGGAGGAGGGAAGGCTTCTTAGAAGGAGGCCGCTTCTTAGAAGGCGCCAGCCCTACATCGATGGACAAGGCCCGCACCTTCTGAGAAGCACCTCGCCCTAACCCCCCTCTGCGCGTGGCCGATCTTGGTGGTTACGCAGGGCTTACGCAGGGCCCCACGGGCGTGGGTAAGACTCGCCATCGCTTGAACGTCCATTCCCCGTGCATTTTTCGGCTTCGTGCGTGGTTTTTGTCCGCGAGACGGCTCAAAGTGCTCCCCGATGGACTTCGCGTCCGAGCGATGCCAAGAGGAGCGGGGGGCGTTCCTGTCCGTTCGCGCTCGCCCGCTCGCCGCTCGGCCAAGGCGCGGCCCGTGCGCGTGTCTTCGCCGCCCCCAGGCCGCACTGGAGACGGAGGAGGAGGAGGAGGAGGAGGAGGAGGAGGAGGAGGAGGAGGAGGAGGGGGAGGAGCAGGGGGAGCAGAAGGAGGAGCAGGGGGAGCAGAAGGAGGAGGAGGAGGAGGAGGAGGAGGAGGAGGAGGAGCCAGGCCCACTGCGGGCACCAGGCCCACTGCGGGCACGGGTCTGGGTGGACGGGGTCTCCCCGCCCCGCCCTCCTCCCGCCTCCCGGCCTCCTCCCGGCCTCCTCCCGCTCCCTCCTCCTGCCCTTTCCTCCCGCTCCCTCCTCCCGTCACGCCCTCCTCCCGCTCCCTCCTCCACGGGGCCTCCACCGCTGCGCCCTCCACCGCCCTCCACAGAGCCGGCTGCCCACCGCTCCCTCCACCGCCCTCCTCCCTCTGGCTCCTCGGCGGCCCGACTGTGAGATCCCGGCGCTGCAGCTTTTCACACCGGGCGACGTCGCCCTGCTTCGGGCCTTAGGGCCATCGCAGGAGATCGCTCCGGCTCGAGGGACGCAGGAGAAAGTTGGGGTCTGGGAGTCTCGTCGTGATTATGTTGCGACGCTGCATTTGTTCGAGATATCGGATCTCAGGGTCCCTCCTCCTCCTCCACCTCCACCTCCTCCTCCTCTTCTTCTTCTAATTATCATTATTATTGGTATTGTTCTTATTGTTATTCTTCTTTTTATTAGTATTACTATTAATATTATTAATATTAGCCTGAGTCTTAATATTCTTCTTCTTAATATAATTAGTATTCTTAGTAGTATTATTAGTATCATTATTCTTATTATTATTATTATTAATAATAGTGTTGTTATTGTTATCAGTCGTATTCTTATTAGTGCTAGTATTATTAATATAATGATTCTTATTATTATCCGTATTATTAAGATTATTATTGGTACTCTTATTATCATTATTATTAGTATTATCATTTTGCTTACTATTCTTATTATGCTTATTATCATTCTTATTATAAATATTCTTTGTATTCTTATTATTAGTATTGTGATTATTCGTCTTATCATTATTATTATTCCTCCTCCTCCTCATCATCATCAGCATCAGCATCAGCATCAGCATCAGCAACATCATCATCATCCTCACTCCTCCTCCTCCTCCTCCTCCTCATCATCATCATCATCATCACAATCATCATCATCATCATCACCATCATCATCATCATCATCATCATCATCATCATCATCATCATCTTCATCATCATCATCATCAGCATCATCATCATCAGCATCATCATCATCGTCATCATCATCAGCATCAGCATGATCGTCATCATCATCAGCAGCATCATCATCAGCACCATCACCATCACCACCATCATCATCAGCAGCAGCAGCATAATCAGCATCATCGTCGTCATCATCAGAATCATCATCATCATCATCATCAGCAGCATCATCAGCAGCAGCATAAACATCATCACCATGATGACATCATCATCATCGTCGTCATCATCATCGTCATCATCATCGTCATCATCATCATCGTCATCATCGTCATCATCATTGTCATCATCAGTGACCTGAGGCCCACCTGGTCGTTCGATGAGCCGCCGACGCACAACGACAAAGCGAATATTGACCAGCTCCCAGGTCAGGCTCACTCCGAGGTGGAGGCGGGGGACGGGGAGGGAAGCGTGGGGGCGGAGAAGAGGAGGAAAGGCAAGAAAGGGGAAGCGACTGGCCTAACCTGGCACTCGTCCCAGGCCACAGACGCCCTCAAAGCTTTGACCGCTCGGAGCACGCCCGAGGGACCTTGCACGGAAGGAACAGCTTCACCCAGAATTTCTCCTCCTCTTCCTCCTCATCATCGTCCTCCCTCCTCCTCCTCCTCCTCCTCCTCCTCCTCCTCCTCCTCCTACTCTCCTCCTCCTCCTCCTCCCTCCTCCTCCTCCTCCTACTCCTCTCCTCCTCCTGCCTCCTCCTCCTCCCTCCTCCTCCTCCTCCCTCCTCCTCCTCCCCTCCTCCTCCTCCGCCTCCTCCCTCCTCCCTCCTCCTCCTCCTCCTCCCCCTCCTCCTCGTCCTCCCTCCTGGTGGCGGTACTCCACTTTTTCCAAGCAGTGCGGGGGGGGCGGGTGGAGCCAGCGGGCGCGCCGGAATCTTCGGGCCCCAAAACGGCTGCGGAGGTGCCCGATCTGGTGCCCCATCTGGAGGGCCCGCTCTCGGATACACCCGCGCGCGGCTTGGGACGAGCCCTCATGTCAGACACCGACTTCTCCCTGAACTGAACATGAACAGAATGGGTGGGAGACGAGGAAACGGAGCAGGGGGGAGAAGGAAGATAAGGATGAGGAGGAAGAGGAGGCACCAGGGAGGAGGAGGGAAGGGAAGGGGGACGGAAGGGAAGGGGAGGGGGAAAGACGCGAGAGATGGAGACGGAGGAGGGATGGAGGAGAAAGAGCGGTCCTTCTCCTCCGAGTCCTCCTCCTCCTCCTCCTCCTCCTCCCCTTCTCCTCCGTAATCCCGTCCTTATAAACAGCTCCCCCTTGTCGCACCACCAGACGCGTCCGTGGGCTGGACAGGGCGTCTCGCATGTGAACGCATTACATGCTACGATCCTGAAACTAACGTTTGCCAGCGTGGACCCTCAAAGAGAGAGCAACTATTACATTGTATGTCTGAAGCACGTGTTGTGTGGTGTAAGCTTGGTGGTTCAGTATATATGTGGTGCCAACTGTGTGGTGTATGCTATGCGGCTCAAGCTATGTGGTGCAAGCTATGTGGCGCAAACAAAGTGGTGCTCTGTGGTGCAACCTGCGTAATACAATCTATGCATTGCACGCTATGTCGTGTAAAGTGCGACTGGGTCATAATGATGCGTGGTAAGGACGCTCAGCCCTTTGACGCCCGAATTCAAGCCGAAATTGGAAGCCCATGGCCCACGGCTACGGGTTATGGCGGGCCGAGAGGCAAAGATGCAAGGATACCCTTGAACAACTCCTCATCGTCAAAATGCTGTTTGACTAGGCTACTCGGGGTAATCTAAAGGTGCAACTATGTGTAATCCACCTGGAGTCAGCTGTCGGGAGAAATCTGTGGTAATTGCTACGTGGCACAATTAACTTATGTTAACTGCTGGATTGTCGACCCCACTGCTCTCGCAATCATCCCACCCTCCCTCCCGCAACCTACTTTGCAACACCCGTACGTCCGCGATTGCGGACACGCAGGGCGCTGGCTAGCGCATCTCTGCGACCGCGCTGGCGAGCGCAAGTCCGCACGCAGAGCAGCCAGCTGACTTGCAACAACTCATGCGGCCGCGGTGGCGTTTGCCGATGGGAACTTCCCAGCGCGTCTCAGAGGCCGCGCTGGCGCGCGGGCTCTTCAGGGCAGGTCGGTGGCCCCCGGACGGGCGCGATTTCATGATGACGTCGGCAACGGCGGCAACGATGATGGTGGCAGCGAAGGAGGTGGCGATGATGACGAAGACGACGGCACGGCCAATGATGGCGACGGTGCTGGTGAAGGCGATGACGATGATAATGTCCATGTGTCGGTGATCGAGGTGGTTGGCTGCTGATGGCGGCAATAGCGGCGATTGACGATGACGATGACGGCTGTGATGCGATGGCGAGGAAGTGCGCGCGCAGCAATTCAATACACATATACACCTGTCCGACTTTTCGTTGGACACCAGATGGTTGTTCAAATGTGTTTAAATACACACGTATGCATACATACATACATACATACATACATGCATGCATGCATGCATGCATGCATGCATGCATGCATGCATGCATACATACATACATACATACATACATACATACATACATACATACATACATACATGCATACATACATACATGCATGCATGCGTGCGTGCATGCATGCATGCATGCATACGTACGTACGTACGCAAGACCACACATACATACATACGTACAGACAATCGTACATAATATGTTTCTACATACGTATACGAATACGTACATGCATCCATACATCCATACATCCGTCCGTAAATACATGTGAGTATGCAATCGTATAGATAATAACTACTACTAGTAGTAATAATACCAAGAATACTACTAATACTAATACTAATTATAATAAGAAGGAGAAGAATACGAACTGTCAGAATAGCAATGCTGAAATGATGATACGAATGAGGATAAGAGAGACGTTACTCGTAAAACGAATGCGAACACCAAGAACCATCACAACACAAACAAATAATATTACACATGCGAATAGTCATGTTGCTTTTAACATTAATATTCATAGCAATGCTACAAAAAGGGACAAGTGCAAAACCAACGAAAATACGAATCAAAAATTATACGAATCGTACTACGGAAACTAAGTTCCACAAAAATAATGTCAATGACCGCAAACACATATAGATATGTGTATATATATGTGTGTGGTGCGCGTGCAACTCGGAGGAGGTGGAAGAGGAAGAGGGAGGGGGAGGAGGAGAGGAGGAGGAGGAGGAGGAGGAGGAGGAGGAGGAGAGGAGGAGGAGGAGAGGAGGAGGAGGAGGAGGGAGGAGGAGGGGAGGAGGAGGAGGAGGAGGAGAGGAGGAGGAGGAGGAGGAGGAGGAGGAGAAGGAGGAGGAGGAGGAGGAGAGGAGGAGGAGGGGGAGGAGGAGGAGGAGGAGGGAGGAGGGAGGAGGAGGAGGAGGAGGGAGGGAGGAGGGAGGAGGGAGGAGGGAGGAGGAGGAGAGGAGGGAGGAGGAAGAAGGGGAGGAGCAGAGGGGAGGAGGAGGAGGAGAAGGAGGAGAGAGGAGGAGGAGGAGGAGGAGGAGAGGAGGGAGGAAGGGAGGAGGGCGGAGGGAGGAGGAGGGAGGAGGGATCCAAGATGGTTCCAAGTTTACCGTTCTTGTTGGGAGGAGGAGGAGGAGGAGGAGGGGAGGAGAGGAGGAGGGAGGAGGGAGGAGGAGGAGGAGGAGGAGGGAGGAGGAGGAGGAAGGAGGAGGGCGGAGGGAGGAGGAGGGAGGAGGGATCCAAGATGGTTCCAAGTTTACCGTTCTTGTTGGGAGGAGGGAGGAGGAGGAGGAGGAGGGAGGAGAAGGAGGAGGAGGAGGAGGGAGGAGGGCGGAGGGAGGAGGGAGGAGGAGGAGGGAGGGAGGACGGGGGGGATGGGCAAGCTCCGCCGGAGGGCCCGTCACCCCCCCCCCCTCTGGGCCGCGCCCAGTGGCCCTCCACAGGCAGGGGCAGCGTCCAGGGAGGGGCCGCCTGTCGTCCTTCCAGGTCCCCACGTACAGTTTGCGCAACTTGCCGGCCCTGGGGGTCGGGAAGCAGGGCGGCCGTGCAGAGGAGGACGAGGAGGAGGAGGAGGAGGACCAGTGGAAACCCAAGAGTCATCAACGACGTTCACTGCGGGAACTGCCTCGTTGGAAGACAACCGTTGGAAGACCCTGTAGCATGCCGAAGCGATATTCTCGGGATTCCAACGCCACGGATCAACCTGACTGTTGCGTCTTGACGATCTTGAATCGCGTCAGCACACCATTTCTGAGACTTCAACACAGCGAATCAACGTAACTGTTGCGCTCTCAAAACCCTGAATCCTTCAAAAAAACATGTTTGGTATGCTGACCATGGGATTTCGTGAAAGTCTTGCAAATTTTGAAAACGAATGTGCGCGGCGCTGAAAGCGAAAGCCATAGTTTGACAAGAAACCACCCTCAATCCGTGAAAGTCTTGCAAGCTTTGAAAACGAATGCGCGCGGCGCTGAGGCGAGAACAACATTGTGAAAAGGAACCATCATCAATCCGTGAAAGTATTACACAGTTTGAAAAAGAATGTGAGCGGCGCTAAGGCGAGAGCCACAGTTTGAAAACCACCCGCCCTCAATCCGTGAAAATCTTGCAAGCTTTGAAAACGAATGCGCGCGGCGCTAAGGCGAGAGCCACATTGTGAAAAACACCCACCCTCTATTTGTGAAACTGTTGTCATGTTTGAAGCTCCGAGGTCATAAATGGTGAAGAAAATCTCAAGCGAAACGCCCGGTCCGCCCTGAAAACTGGCCCCGCGGTGCGACAGGGAGAAGTTGGAGGAGGACCAGTGCCAACCCAAGGCTCAACAACGACGTTGGGGTACGCACTCCCTCCAAGCTCCCTCTTCGTCGGCCCCTACAAAGATTCATTGCCACTGGTCGAAGTTCCCCGTTGGGGGTGGGCAACAGTGTGAAAATCCTGAAGCGTACAGAAACACCACTCTCAGGACTTCAACGCCACAAATCAACCTGACCGTTGCGTATTGACGACCCTGAATCGTGCCAGAACACCACTGCTGGGACTTCAACACCGCAAAAATCAACGTTCCTGTGGCGCTCTGCTTTCCCGAATCGTTCCAAAACACCGTTTCTGGTACGCCAACCGTGAGAATCAACCAAACTCTTGTCAATGTTTGAGACGAATGTGCGCGGCGCCATGGCGAGAGCCACATGTTGAAAACCACATGTCCTCAATCCGCGGGGCTGTTGCAAATGTTTGAAACGAATGTGCGCGGCGCCAAGGCGAGAGCCACATGTTTAAAGCCACCTCTCGATCAGTGGAACTCTCGCAAATGTTTGAAACGAATGTGCGCGGTGCCAAGGCGAGAGCCACATGTTGGAGAGCACCCGCCCAATCCGTCGAACTGTTGCCAACGTGTAAGCTGCAGCATCAGAAATGGTGCGAAGTCTCAGGCGAAACGCCCCGCCCGCCCGTTCGACTGGCCTCAGGGGGCGACAGGGAGGAGTTATTCATACGGAAATGGAATGGAGTTGAGGACGGCGCTCCGCCTGCTCCTGCACCGCGACTTCCCCCTCCCCCCCCCACTCGAGAGTCCTCCTGACGCCCGCAAGTGTACAAGAACGTAAAAACATACGCAAAAAACAATGAAACGATACCCTTCTCCTCCTCCACCTCCTCCTCCTCCTCCTCATCCTCCTCCTCCTTTCTCTTCCTCCTCCTCCTCCTCCTCCTCCTCGTCCTCATCCTCCCCCTCATATTCCTCCTCCTCCTGCCCCTCTACCTCCTCCTCCTCCTCCTCCTCCTCCTCCTCCTCCTCCTCCCAACAAGAACGGTAAACTTGGAACCATCCTGGATCCCCTGGGCTCAGAACCCCCAAAAGCTTCTCATGGAATATGTGGCCACATGGAGAGGCCTCCCAGATCCCAGCTGGGGCCGAGTAGACGGGGTCAGAGGATCACGCCGCATCCCCGATACATCGCCGATGCCTTGGCGATGCATCTGTGACGTCGGGAATGCATCGGCGACGTCCGGGTGGAGAAAATCGTGCTGCGCATCGCGACGCATCGCCGATGCAAAGGCGACGCGGCGTGATCCTCCGACCCCATCTGCTCGGACCCCATCTGGGAGGCCTGGATCGGCGGCACGCCCGGGGGTGAAGTGAGAGGGGGCGGGCCTTCTCTGAAGGCTCGGAAGTCCTGTGGCCTTCTGAGAAGTCTTCGAAGCCTTTCCCGAAGACACAGAACACCTCTGTGAAGGCCAGAGGGCCTCTGAGAAGCCCTGCCGCCTTCTGAGAGGGCCTTCTCCTCCTCTTTTCCCCCCCTCGCTCGCCGCCGACTGGAACCTGGAGACCTCCCGCCCTTGACGGAACCGCAAGACGCCAGGCATCTCAGCCAGGGCGGCGTGCGTGGCCAGCGGGGCGCCACCGCGGTCACGACCGGGGAAACCAAGAAGTACCGATACCGCTGCGGCTGGCTGGCGTTGCGATGTCGCGGGCGTTGGATTATGACGCCGAGTGGATGGTCCAGCTTTGAACGATCGCGCTTCTCCGATTCTGGGCCACGGACAATTCGGGGCCACTGGCGGCGTTTAACCTTGAACGCCAACGCTGGGGCCGCCAACGCGTCAACGCGACGCAAACCTACCGTACTCCGCGGACCTCTCCCGGGGCGCATTCTGACCAGGATTTCGAGGAGAATCCGGCTGTGGCGACGAGGGCTCTCCAGGACGAGCAGCGGCTTCGGTGCCCCTTCCTCGCCTGAACGGCTCCGGCCACGGGCTCCCGCGGTGCCCAGCCGCCTGGCAGCCTCCCGCCCACAATTGAACCGCAAGACGCCGTCTCGGCCAGGGCGACGAGTACTCCCCAGACCTCTCCTTGCCACTGCTCGGACGTCCATGCAGTGCGCCGCTTCGCGCGTGTTTCTTCTCAAGACGACCCAAGATGCTCCAAGAGGGTCCAGACTTTCTGGCGCTGGCCTGGCCGAGAAAATTTGCACACGTCCGCGCGATGCCAAATCCCCCAGTGTGGCTTCCAGCGGGACCTCGCCCCTGAGGCCCCCCCCAGAGATGGGCTTGGGGGAACTGTCCTCGGGTCGGCTCTGGTGAGGTCGTGCTGGCAAGCTCCTCCTCAAGCCATGCGACCCCCCTCGTAAGAGCACGGAACATTCCAAGTTTCTTGGGGGGGCTCCTCCTCCTCCGCCTCCTCCTCCTCGTCCTCCTCCTCCTCCCATGGCTCAGGCGACGGGTACAGGTCCCTGATAATATTGTAGTCAGGCGCTGATTCATCATGGAGTGACCAGGCGCGCTGGAGGTCTGGGAGGTCTGCGAGGAGGAGAAGCGCGACGATCTCGGCCTCCCCAGAACGCTCTCGAGGAGGCGCATCTGGCAAAAACTACCCTGGGCCTCGAAAACCTCTGGAAACTTCCGACAACCTCTGTTCGGAGACGATATCGGCCTCCTCCTCCTCCCTGGAACGCTCTCGGCGAGGCGCAGCTGATGGAAACTACCCCAGGCCCCAACCTTCGGATAACTTCCGAATACCTCCGTTTGAGTTTCGTCACGCTCGCGACGAGGCGGAGCTGATGGAGAATACCCCGCTTCCCGAAAAACCTCTGGACTATCTCGGCCTCCTCCTCCTCCACGGAACGCTCTCGGCAAAACACAGCTGATGGAGGCTACCCCAGACCCCGAACACCTTCGGAAACTTCCAATAACCTCCGTTACAGACATCGTGCTGCCACACGGAACGCAGAATAAGGGACGGATGGGCTCTTCTGGCCACGGCGAGCCTCGACCAACAAGAGGCTCCCAGGCCTGGGCCCAAAGAACGGCCCGAAAACGAAACCCCTCACAAGTTTGTTTAAATCCCAGACCCCCCGCGGCATGTCTTTTTCACAACGTTGACCCCCAGAGGTCTCGACCCTTTCTCCGTGATCGGTGTTTCATCCTTTGCTGCTTTTCACGGTCCTGGTGCACGGCGATGGCCCAAGCGGCCAAAAAAAACAGCAAAACACATTCGTTTTCATTTTTCAATACGTTGAAGTCTGGCCTTCGAGCCATGACGCGGACCTCCAGGGGCCAACGATCAGGGCACCTGCGGAAAGCTCTCGACGAGGCGCAGCCGCGTGAGAGCATCCCGAGGCTGGAAAACTACCGAGAGCCGACGAAAACGCCGGAACATCTCGAACCTTGAACCCTAAGTGGTCCTCACTGCAGCGTCTTGACGGTAGGGTTTCGTCCACACGTTGGCGCTATCCTGATTTCGCATCCGTCGTACTGCGGTCTATCCTTCGACTAAAAATCGTGTCGGACATGCACCCCAAAGGATGCGAAAACACAGGGCGGAAATCTCTGCCTTAGAAAAAGTCGGACTGGCAACTCCGTAAAGACAGGGCGAAAAAACAGCGACGGACTGACTGACAAACCATACACCAAGCAGTGCGTGGGCATGAACGCTGGCTTAAAGAAGAGCCAAGGCCTTGGCTGCACGCCGGGCCACTGCAGTCGGCTACCAGTGAGAAGCTGTACTTGTGCGCTGGGGGCCCAGGGCACCACGAACGGGAACGGCGCGCAAATGGGTCACACTGGGACGAGGAGGAGGAGGAGGAGGAGGAGGAGGAGGAGGAGGAGGAGGAGGAGGAGTGCACGTGGAATTAAAACAGGGCGCGTATAGTACGATCGTATTGGCAAGTTTGCGCTGCAGCCTCGGCTGCTGCCGTGCTACCAAAAATGCGTGCAGTATGCTTCATCATCTCACATGCAAACTCCTTGTATGGCCTACCAACCGTCCTCGTTGTAGCATCTGTCTGTGGTGTCAGTGAGCCGGAAGCGAACGTGCACGTCCGCAGCGGGTGTCCTCGATCGGCGCGTAGCACTTGACCGAAGAGCAGGAGCCGCCGGCGTAGAAGTTGCTGGCTCGCTGGGGCGTGGTCTGCACGGCTCAGCACGTCTGTGTTCCGTAGGCGCGAAATCCATGAAGATCGGACGCCTATGATCTGCCGGACACACCTGTTCTGGAAGCCGTCCAACCGCCGCAGCTGCGATTCTGTCAAGCACGACCCTGCTAGCCCATATCATAATTTAGATTCCAGAATCGATGTGCAAATTCGCAGCTTTCGTGGCCAGGTCAAGGAAGAATGCGACCAGACTTTTCGCAACGTTGTGAAATTTCTTTTGGCCTCTCCGATTTTTCTGCCCAATTCGTGGCCCATGTCTGCATCTGCCGACAGATGTGCTCCAAGGTATTGTAGGTGCTGTACATGGTTGAGGGCAGTACCATGAGGGGGTATATCTCGCCCTTCGACTGAACTGCGAGCACTTGGAACTTGCCCCAATGCAGCGCTTGCCCGCGGAGGCAACGGCACCCAGAAGCTCGTTCAAGTGCCCTTCATTAGAGCCGATTGAGAGCGTGTCGTCTGCGTAAACGCACTCGGACAAGTCGCCCTTGACGTGCGCCTCCTTTGCTCCGCCGGTAAGCTTCGAGGCGGCATCGTGCAAGAGCACAGTCATGACCAGGACGAACAGCAGCGGGCTGAGGGTGCAACCCTGTGAGATCCCAGAAAACTGGGGTCTGGGAGCGGACTGGTTGTCGCATTCCCTCACCACGAACATCCTTCTCTCCATCATCACACCGACCATTTCCCGGAACTCAGATGGAACGCCAATCCGCCGTAATGCGTCCAGCAGGCTCTCTATGTGTACGCTGTCAAATGCCTTCTTCCAATCCAGCGCCACCAGGGTGACAGCCCCTCCTTTTTTCGCCCTGGCTGTTTCTATGCGCCTCCGGGCAGCATAGATGGCGTGCTCGGTGCTGCGACCAGGTCGGAAACCAAATTGGGACGCCCACAATATCTCATCCACGCCCGCGTCCAGGAGCCTCTGCTTGAGCATGGCGGAGAATGCTTTCATGGCGACGCATTGAAGCGACAAGGGCCAGTAGTTGTCGCAATTTGCTGGGTCGCCCTTCTTATAGAGTAAGCTCACATGAGACTCGCACCAATCATCCGGAAGGTTTTTCTCCACCCACGCGGTATTGCAGATGTCGAGCAACCACTGCAAGCGCCCTGGCTCAGCAGCGAGAGCTTTGTAAACTTCTACTGGGATGTCCCCTCTTTTGCAAGATCTTCCAGGGCGTAACTTCTGTAAGGCACGCCGTAATTCTGCATCCGTACAGCGATCCAGATTCACGTTCAACGCCTGGTAGATCGCATCGTCTGTGTCTGGCGTCAGAGTTGTAGGGCGCACGTGCCACTGGATATTGCTGAGGTGCTCCGCGAATGCCTCCGCGCGCTCGTCTGTCTCAACCGGATCGCCGTTTCGATTGTGAAGTCGCCCTTGCGGCCGGCCCTTGCATTTCGATATCTTGTTGATGCAACTCCAGTCTCCAGTAGCTGTCAGATTCTCGAGCCACGTACTGCGATCTTGATTGGCAGACTGCTTCACGGACTTTCTCAGTCGCAGCTCGGCGCTCCAGTCGCCTGCAGTTCGCGCCTGGCGTCTCTGGGTGATGAGTGCCAGCGTGCGCTCTGAGATCCAGGGTTTGTTCGGCTTGCGCATGGAATCTGGCACGGTGATGTCCACGGCCGCCATGACAGACGCAGACGCCGTCTTCCAGCTCAGAGTTAAACTATGTTCGCCTGCGGACTCTTCCATGCGACGTCCAACTTCTTTCGTGAGCTCTCGTCTCCCAGATGGCGAAAAGGCGGAAACCGCTGTCAAAGGAAAGGTACCGCTGTCCACGGCAACGCAGGGCGGAAACCGCTGTCAAAGGAAATTTTGGCACTACCTACGAAATCGCCCAAAGTACGGCGGATCTGGAGTCGGCGGTGGACAACCATCCCTCTAGTAAGCCTCCGTTCAGTGAAAACGGCCTAGGACCGACACCGACGGACCTGGACCCGCCAAAGTGACGGCCGCGACGCCCTCTCGCGAACCGAAAACGGCCAATTCGCTAATCGACGTGTCAGGGTACTGCAGGTCCGTGCCGTGTCGACCCTGGCGTTGGTTCCGGACACCGCGCTGGATCGTTCAACCTTGAACGATCGGCCGTTTCCGCAACGTCCGATCGTTCAAGATCGATCGATTCTGGGCCGCCGCCGGCGTTCAACGTTGAACGCCGCTGGCGGGGTCGCCGCGAGGAGGTCTAACAACCTCGGAGCCACATCGCTACGAGTCGGGCCCGGCGCTCGGGCCACAGATCGCGCCTCGGGCAGCAGCTCGGGACGCCTCCGGCACCAACCGAACGCGCTCTCGACGAGGCGCAGCCGATGGAAGCCACCCCAAACCTCGTCCTTCCCCCACCCCCTCCCCCACATCGCTCCTTCTCGCCACCCCTCCTCCTCCTCCTCCTCCTCCTCCTCCTCCTCCTCCTCCTCCTCCTCCTCCTCCTCCTCCTCATCATCATCATCATCATCATCATCATCATCATCATCATCTTCCTCATCCTCCTCCTCCTCCTCCTCCTCTTCCTCCTCTTCCTCCTCCTCCTCCTCTCATTTGTATTATTACTACTCTTAAAATTAGTAGTAGTATTAGTACGACTAGTATTCTTATGATCATGAATGTTAATTAGTAGTAGCAGTAGTAGTAGTAGTAGTAGTCGTAGTAGCAGCAGCTGCAGCGGCAGCAGCAGCAGCAGCAGTAGTAGTAGCAGTAGCAGTAGCAGTAGCAGTAGCAGTAGCAGTAGCAGTAGCAGTAGCAGTAGCAGCAGTAGTAGTAGTAGTAGTAGTAGTAGTAGTAGTAGTAGTAGTAGTTCGTAGTAGCAGTAGTAGTAGTAGTAGTAGTAGTAGTAGTAGTAGTAGTAGTAGTAGTAGTAGTAGTAGTAGTAGTAGTAGTAGTAGTAGTAGTAGTAGTAGTAGTAGTAGTAGTAGTAGTAGTAGTAGTAGTAGTAGTAGTAGTAGTAGTAGTAGTAGTAGTAGTAGTAGTAGTAGTAGTAGTAGTAGTAGTAGTAGTAGTAGTAGTAGTAGTAGTAGTAGTAGTAGTAGTAGTAGTAGTAGTAGTAGTAGTAGTAGTAGTAGTAGTAGTAGTAGTAGTAGTAGTAGTAGTAGTAGTAGTAGTAGTAGTAGTAGTAGTCACTAGTAGTAGTAGTAGTAGCAGCAGTAATATCAGTAGTAGTAGTAGCCGTAGTAGTAGTAGCTGTAGAAATAGTGGTAGTAGTAGTAGTAATAATAATACTAGTGATATGACTAGTAGTAGTGGTAGTAGTAGTAGAAGTAGTAGAGAGAGTAGTAGTGATAGTAGTAGTAGTAGTAGTAGCAGCAGTAGTAGTAGTCGTCGTCGTCGTAGTCGTAGTAGTAGTAGTTGTTGTTGCTGTTGTCTGTGTTTTCGTCTTACACGTATTATTCGTAATAGCATTACTAATTTTGAAAAAAAAAAAAAAAAAAAAAAAAAAAAAAAAAAAAAAAAAAAAAAAAAAAAAAAAAAAAAAAAAAAAAAAAAAACTAAGTGTACTTCTTGGCATTATGAATATTAATCTTAGTAATAGTAGCAGTATTATCCTTATGGCCTCTTACAATAGTATTCTCAGGCTTCGTATCAATATCATTCGTATAAGTATGGTGTGTATAAGTATTCGTTGTCGTCTCATGTTTCTGAGTCTGAATATTCTAATTATGTACATACAAACTATAATGCGTATTATTAGTAGCAGCATTATTCTTATTATTACTACTATCATTAGTACTATGATTCGTATGCGTATCAGTCTTCTTCTGAGTATTTATAGTAGTAGTAGTAGTAGTAGTAGTAGTAGTAGTGTTAATCTTATTCGTTTTAGTATTATTATGATTATTATGACAAGATCCAGTCTTATTAGTATCATTCGCATTCGTATTATTATTGCTATTACTCATCATCATCCTTTTCCTCCTCATCATCATCATCATCAACATCAGCCTCATCATCAGCAGCAGCAATCATCGTCATCATCATCAGCATCATCATCATGAACATCATCATCATCATCATCATCATCATCATCATCATCATCATCATCATCATCATCATCATCATCATCATCATCATCATCATCATCATCATCATCATCATCCCCCTCTTCATGCTCCCTCCTCCTCCCTCCTCCTCGCCCCTCCTCCCCCTGCCGGGATCAGGCTGAGGATATAGCGCTGGGGCGCAGGGCGCGCCTCCCGGTCGGCACCCACAGAGTCCCCTCGCCGTCGCGGAGGCCCATGCTCCACTGGCCTGCCCCCGCCCTCTGAGGGCGGAGGGACGAGGGAGGGAGGAGGGAGGAGGAGGAGCGGGAGGAGGGAGGAGGAAGGAGGATGGAGGATGGGGAGGAGGAGGGAGAAGGAGGGAGGACGGGGAGAAGGAGGGAGGAGGAGGAGGAGAGGTGGGAGGGAGGGGAGGAGGAGGGGGGGGAGGGAGGAGGGAGGAGGGAGGAGGGGGAGGAGGGCGCGCAAGGGGGGGGGGGCGCAAGAAGGGCGACCTCCTCAGAGGGCGGGGGGGCTTCCAGGAATCCCACTCACGCCCTCTAGGCGTGTGTGGCTTGGCGAGTTCTCTCTTCAATCTGCCCTGTTCCCCTTCGGGGAAGGGCTTGCCCCTCCCCAACGCAACTGGTGCACGTGGCGCGCATGGCACGCGTGGCGCACCTCGCTCCAGCATCGCACACATGGAATATGTTGTCGGTTCCCAGTAGTTGCCCATCCATAGACGACCGCTGAACATGCTGAGGCCCAGGTGCTACTTATGTGTTGGGAGGGCGGGTGGGAGTGAGCGAGACAGCTTGCGGGCGGGGAGGGTGTCTCGACCCCTCCCCCTACCCCCTCACCCCTGACCTGGACGGGGAGGGAGCGAGACAGTCTGCGGGCGGGGAGGGTATCTCGGCCCCCCCTACCCCCTTACCGCGTCCAAGAAGGAGATCCGCGCAAACGTCTTGGGTCGGCGCTGGACCTCCATAGAGGAATTTCCAAACTGCATAAACATAAACGTTTGGAGCTCCGCACGGAATTCTTGGGTCGGCGCTGGACCCATGGAGGAAGATAAAACAGCCTACGCATAAATTGCTGGAGCGCGAAATTCTTGGATCAGCGCTTGACCCATAGATGAAGAAACCACGGCATCAACATAGATGTTTGGAGCTCCGCACGGATTTCTTGGATCGGCGCTGGACCAATCGAGAAAAAAAAAAAACATAAGCTTTGGAGCTCCGCTCGGATTTCCTGGTTCGGGACTGGACCCACAAAGCAAGGCACAAAAACGGCATAACACACAAACTGTTGGAGGCCCGCGCGGAGATCTTGGATCGGTACTGGGCCCATGGAGTAACAAACAATTGCATGAACATGAGCTGTTAGAATTCCGCGCAGATTTCTTGGATCGGCGCTGGACCCATAGAGGAAGAACAAACAGCGGTGATTTTCTAAATTATAACTGGGGCAACGAACATGGTGATCCCGAGCTGGAGCCGCGTGTTTTTTACGTGCCCAGGCCACCCAATTGGATATCGAACACGGTGGCCACGAGCTGGAACCACCTTCTTCCATGTGTCCAGGCCACCTAGGTCGGTATCTAACATGGTTGCCCCGAGCTGGGACAATGTGTTTTCGCGTGTCCAAGCCGCCCAGGGGAGTGTCCAACATGGTTGTCCCGAGCTGGGATCACGTCTTCGCGAGTCAAGGCTACTCAGGGAGATATCGAACATGTGGTCGTCTAGCTCCGTTTTGGTGTCTCGAGCGAGGGCAGCGGAACTCAATCGGGTCTTGAGCTCGAGCTGGTCGAGCGCCCCGCGAGATTCCGTCGCAGTTTGCTGCGCGCGCCGGCCTTGGCGGACAAATCCCGCCCCCCCGAGGCAAATTGACGCTCACAAGAGGGGCCACCCGTGACAATGATTGCCCGGGTGAGCGGTCGAGGAACGTGGCGCGCAAATCGTCGAACTAAGCCATGGCCCCGAAAATCGGCAATGGCCCCGGGCTCGGGCAAGACCACGGGGAGACGACAATGGGGCGGAAATTCGGGCGGTTGCAACGACACGAATGCACCCGCAAAGCGTATCAGCGCCGCGCCGGGGGCAAGGAGAGGCGAGGGGAGCAGAGGAGGGAGGAGGAGGAGAAAGGAGAGAAACGAACTAGAACAGACCTCAAATCGACTAGAGGCCGGTACAACGAAAATGTACGCACGGCCTACTGGAGGCACGGAGTGGGGAGGAGAAATCCTGCACCCCTGCGAAGACGGAGGCAAGCAGAAGAAAGAGGAGGAGAAGGGGAGGAGCGGGACGGGGACCGGCGACCTTGCTAGGGCTGGAAAACGCGGCAGCAGTTCACTGAGATGTCGGTAACCTCACAAGGGCTCCAACTATAGCCGGAGTGCAGTATCCCCAAACAGGGTTTTTAGACCCTTGCGGTTTCCGAGGTCGATTGCGTGCCCGTCCAGTGCGGGCTGGCATGGCATGTTAAAACATGCCTCCTCCTCCTCCTCCTCCTCCTCCTCCTCCTCCACCTCCTCTTCATCCCGAACGGCATCTCGGAGCCCAGAGTTGCGAGGATGTCTCCAGCGTAACGGGCTGGACCACCTCGCGCGCGGCATTTCGGACCCCAGAGTTGCGACGATGTCTCGGGCGAAACGTGCTGCGAGGAAGTCTCAGGCGAAACGGGCCGGACCACCTCGAGCGCGGCGTCTCAGAGCTCCGAGTTGCGGGGCCTCCTGGGGCCTCCTGGGGCCTCCTGGGGCCTCCTGGTGACCTCCTGGGGCTTCCTCCTGGGCCTCCTGTGGCCTCCTGGACCCCACCTGGGGCTTCCTGAAGCCTCTTGGGGCTCCCAGGGGAGGATATCTAACATGTGGCCGTCGGGGCCCCCCAAAATGGGGGGGGGCCACAAGAGCAGGAAAAATCAACGAATCGACACCGGATGTGTATTAACTTGACACGTTCTGATAGGGGGCCTCCTGGGGCCTCCTGGGAGCCTCCTGGGAATCTCCTGCGGACCCCTGGGGCCTGTCCTGGGCGTCCTGCGGCCTCCTGAAGTTCTCTGGGGCCTCCTGGGGCTCCCAGGGAGGATATGTAACATGTGGTCTTCTGGGCCCCCAGGCTGGACCACCTCTTGCGCAGCATCTGAGAGCTCAGAGTTGCGAGAATGTCTTGTGCAAAACGAGCCCGACCACCTTGCGCACGGCATCTCAGAGCTCAGAGTTGCGAGGATGTCTCAGGCGAGATGGGCTGGACCACCTCGCGCAGGGCATCTCGGAGCCTAGAGTTGCGAGGATGTGTCCAGCGTAACGGGCTGGACCACCTCGCGCGCGGCATCTCGGACCCCAGAGTTGCGACGATGTCTCGGTGCTGCGAGGAAGTCTCAGGCGAAACGGGCCGGACCACCTCGAGCGCGGCGTCTCAGAGCTCAGAGTTTCGAGGATGTCTCAGGCGAAATGGGCTGGACCACCTCTTGCGCGGCATCTCAGAGCTCAGAGTTTCGAGGATGTCTCAAGCGAAACGGGCCGGACCACCTCGCGCACGGCATCGGGGAGATCAGAGTTTCGAGGATGTCTCAGGCGAAACGGGCCGGACCACCTCTCGCGCGGCATCTTGGAGCTCAGAGTTTCGAGGATGTCTCAGGCGAAATGGGCTGGACCACCTCTCGCGCGGCATCTCAGAGCTCAGAGTTTCGAGGATGTCTCAAGCGAAACGGGCCGGACCACCTCGCGCACGGCATCGGGGAGATCAGAGTTTCGAGGATGTCTCAGGCGAAACGGGCCGGAGCACCTCGCGCGCGGCATCTTGGAGCTCAGAGTTGCGAGGATGTCTCAGGCGAAACGGCCCGGACCACCTCTCGCGCGGCATCTGGGAGCTCAGAGTTTGGAGGATGTCTCAAGCGAAACGGGCCGGACCACCTCTCGCGCGGCCTCTCAGAGCTCAGATTTAGGAGGATGTCTCAGGCGAAACGCTCAATCCCGGACAACTCAGAAACGAGAGTTGTGAGGATGTCTCAGGCGAAACGGGCCGGACCACCACATTTGTTTGAGGATGTCTCTGCTTAGCTTTCCCTCGGCCAGAGTTAGCTTCTATCACAACAACACCCCGTTCAGCAAGCTGTTTGGGGAAAAAGCGCGGCCGCGGCCAAACGGCGACGGAGAGGTCCCGCGCCCAGCCGCGCACCGGCACCTCAGCGATGGCAGCCCCCCGACGCCAGGCCACGCGACGCGCGGCCTGGTTCAACATGTGTGTGACGTCGGGATGGCGGCGGCCACAGGCGCTGAAGACGGCAGGGGTGTAACGGATGCCCTGGGCCTCCAGTTCTGGCAGCACTGCGGCATACCGTTCGAGGTTCTCCCTCTTGCTAGCCTCGGTACAATCGAGGCCTGCGCCCGTCGCACTCGATGGTGTCACCATCACGTGGACGGCCGTAGTCAAGCGCGCGTGAGCGGCTCGAGTCAGCCTGTCGGTCTCAGCTCCAGCGGGGACGGCACCCAGCCTGGCACCTCGCACGCGGTTGTCGCGTCGGCCGCCGCGAACGGCACCACCAGGGCGTCCCGCACACGGTAGTGGCCCTCTGTGGACTCGCCGCGGGCGCAGCACAAAGCATGGTAGCCTTGCCGGTCCAGCACGCGCTGTCCGCAAGTCACGCAGAGCCCCTCCGTGGAGCGAAAGCGCACCCGAGGCGAATGCGCATGGCGGTCGGCAATTGTGCCGCCACCGCGCCATCATCATCATCATCATCATCATCATCATCATCATCATCATCATCATCATCATCATCATCATCATCATCATCATCATCATCATCATCATCATCATCATCATCATCATCATCATCATCATCATCATCATCATCATCATCATCATCATCATCATCATCATCATCATCATCATCATCATCATCGTAGTCATCGTCATACTCATAATCCTTGTCGTCATCATCATAAGCAGCATCATCATCATTATCAGCAGCAGCATCATAATCATCAGCAGCAGCGTCATCATCACCATCGTCATCATCATCGTTATCAGCATCATCATCAGCAGCATCATCATCATGAGCATCATCCTCATCATCATCAATCATCATCATCACCATCATAGCCATCGTCATATGTTTCGCCGTGGTCATCGTCCTGGTCATCATCATCATCAGCATCATCATCGTCATCATCATCATTATCAGCAGCAGCAGCATTGTAATCATCAACAGCAGCATCATCATCACCTTCGTCAGCATCAGCAGTATCATCATCAGCATCATCAGCATCGTCATCATCATCATCGTCATCTTCATGTTAATCGCCATCGTCATCGACATCGTCATCGACATCGTCATCGTCATCGTCATCATCACCATCATCATCCTTGCGGTTGATCACGATAAGCTGGTGGCTGGTGTCCGTGGTGGCGCGAGCGAGCCGATGGCAATAGTAATATTGGATGTGATACGTCAGTGCGTCACGTAGGGTTTCCGGCTACGCGCCAATGCCTCGCAGCGATAGACAGTAGCAACTGCCTAGAGCCCGAAGCCGGATGTATCCTGAAGTACGGCATGAATGGCACAAAAAGGGCAAAGACAGACGATGATATGGCTGATATTGCCAACTTGGGTGGGGGAGGTGGGTGAGAGGAGTGGAAACTCGACGAGAGAAGGTAAAGGCGGGAGGATGACTGCGATGGAGGGTAGAGGGCAAAAGTTTCAGGATGGACACTCCTTGTTGCTTCCTCCTGCCTTTTCCTTTTCCAGCTCCTCCGCGTGTTGTTCCTCCTCCTCCTCCTCCTCTTCGTTCTCCCAGCTGCTGCTTCTCCCATACCTCGTCGTCCCTGTGTTATCCTCTCCATCCCCCTCGCCGTCCGCCTTCACTGCTAGGATCAGACCACCGCTCCTCCTCCTCCTCCTCCTCCTCCTCCTCCTCAGCAGCAGCATCATCGCCACCAGTCTCCACGCTCGTTCGCCTGCTGTCTGGGGTCTTTCAATGACCGAGGTCTGTGGCGGCGCGCCCGGCAGATGGCACCCATGCGAGGTCTAGCTCTAGCTCAGGCTCGGCCTCCGCACTGTGTGCGTGGTGCTCAGGGGCAGCGCAGCCGCTCTGGAAGCAGACAGAGGGCTCGTCTGCTCGCCTCCGTCGTCATCCTCCTCCTGAGACCCGTTCCTGTTATTCCAAAAGAACATCGCAGCCACCATTATCCATCGATCTATATATCCATCCATCGATGCTCGTCCTCCTCCTCCTCTTCGTCCTCTTTCTCCTCCTCCTCCTCCTGCTCCTCCTCCTCCTCCTCCCCGTCCTCCCCCTCCTCATCCTCCTCCTCCTCCTCCTCCTCCTCCTCCTCCTCCTCCTCCTCCCAGGTCTCCTCCTCCTCGTCCTCCTCCACCTCCTTCGCTTCACCGTCCTCGTCGCCCCCCCCCCCCCTCCCCTCGGGACCCTCGTACTTCTGGCCGCTGGGGAAGACCTGCGCGCGCGCGGGTGGCGCTGGCCAGGCGGGGCGATTGGGAGGAGCACCCTCGGAACGCAGAGGAATCAACCGGATGGAAAGCCAGGGCTCCCGACTTCGCGCGTCGCGCTTCGCGCTCCGCGAAGCGCGAATAACTTCGCGCTCTCGCGCCGCCTCCCCAAAGGAAGAAAAGGAGGACGAAGAGGAGGGGAAGAAGGAACGAGGTCTGCGAAGCGCGAAGCGCGAATGACTTCGCGCCCTCATGGGAGCCCTTGGAAAGGAGGAGGGGAAGGACGAGGACGACGACGAGGGAGCTGGGATGGGGGAGGCTGGAGGGGGAGGCTGGATGGGGGAGGCTGGGGAGGAGAGGAGAGGCAGGAGGGGAGAGGATGGGAGAGGCAAGAGAGAAGACGCGCCGGGGGGGGAGGAGTAGGGAGATGGGAGAGGGGACAAGGAGAACTCTGCACAACGATGCCAGCTTGACAGCGAACGGAATGATTACGCTGGGCCCGTTGAACTGGTGCTGATGCTGAGCCTTGCCTCGCACAAGGGAGGCTGATGGCTACCCCAGCTGCGCGATGATCCTGCATCTATTCAGCGCGCGCGGGACCACCCGTTTCGGCGGTCCTTCCGCATGCGCGGCCAACACATGCAAAAATCAAGTATGCGTTTCCTTCACTTTTCCGCGGGCGCGCATGCTCAATACGGCGTCCTCGGAGCCCTGGACAATTTCCCCAAGGCCGGCGTTCATCCCGAGTTTTTGGGGGACGGTTGGAAGGCCTGGCGAGGGCCCCAAGAGGCCGAGAACGAACAAAAAGCCCCTCGTCGTGACGTTCTCCACGACGGCGCGAGCACGTCTGTGGAGGCTGGTGGCGGCACACCTAGAGGAAGAAAACACAGCATAAACTTCGGAGGTCCGCGCGGATTTCTGGGATCCGCGCTGGGCCCCCGCTGGCGCGCGGAGCGCACCAAAGAGAGGCGCCGCCAGGGGGGACGAGCGCAGATCCAAAAAATCCGCGCGGACCGTCGACCATTTTTTGCTCTTCGAACACCCGCCCTTCGGCGCACATTGTGCTGCCAGCGCTGCTGCCGAGACGCCGGCAAGCCCAGTCAATCCGGGCGTGCCGGCTCGTGGCTGGCGCACAGGATATCGCGCTGGTCCGGCGATTTCAGCAAGAGACTCACTCCAAGGGCCTTTTTGTTTTGTTGTTCTTCTTTGGCCCGAGATGGTTTCAAGAGGGCCCCGATGCTCCAAGATGGCCTCCCAGATGGCTCAAGATAGCCGAGGACGGCTCAATGTTGCTTCCTGTGCAGTGCCCGCTGCCAGCGTTGTCGGCATCCGGGCGCCACGATATCACAAAACCAAACCTCCACCGTCTCGAGAAACTCAGCGCGGACTTTCGTAGCTGTCGGCCCCTGGAGACCCTCGCAGGGCCCTGGGACCGTCAAAAAGCGATCCTGACGAAGAGACAGACTCTGGGAAGCGGTCCAGAGCTCCCCGGGGGCGGTCGCTGCCGTCGCGGACGTCGTCGTTGGCGTCGTGGAGCTCGTGGTGGTGGTGGCGCTCCTCGTCCGAGCCGTGCGCGAAGCGCGCGCTCCCTGACCACGGTGGTACTGGACGTGCGCGTGCCGGGTCGGCGTCTCTCCGCTCCGGGCGCGGGCGCAGCGTGGCGATTTCGTTCTGCGATCGGTAGCAATGCGACGCGCTGCTCAGTCATGACGTCTGTGGGCCGACGCTGGGGAGATGCTCAGGATGGGGTATGCTGCGTCATCCACGCGCTCCTCTTGCGTCACGAGCTCTTCGTCGAGGTGGCCGTGCTGGAGGCTGTCTTCAACGCTGGGGCAAACAAAACGCTGCGGTGAAGAAAAGCTCGCTCGTCCACACTCCCTCCCCCTGCTCCTCCTCCTCCACCTCCTCCCCCTCCCCATCCCATCTTTCACTCTTTCTCTTTCTCATCCTCCTACCCCTCCTCCTCGTCCACCTCCTCCTCCTCCTCCTACTCCTCCTCCTCCTCCTCCTCCTCCTCCTCCTCCATTCCTTCTCCTTATAGATAACTCCTTCCTGTCGCACCCCGAGGCCAGTTTTTAGGGCGGGCCGGGCGTTTCGCCTGAAGCTGAAAGGTGACAACAGTTTCACAGATGGAGGGCGGGTGGTTTTCAAAATGTGGCTCTCGACTTCGCGCCGCGCACATTCGTTTCAAAAATGTGCAAGCGTTTCACGGATTGAGGGCGGCTCCTTTTCAAAATGTGGCTCTCCCCTTGGCGCCGCGCACATTCGTTTTTTGCAAATTCTGCAAAAGTTTTACGGATTGAGGGCGGTTCCTTTTCAAAATGTGGCTCTCCCCTTGGCGCCGCGCACATTCGAATTTTTGCAAATTCTGCAAAAAAGTTTTACGGATTGAGGGCGGTTCCTTTTCAAAATGTGGGTCTCGCCTTGGCGCCGCGCACATTCGTTTTAAAGAACATGCAAGAGCTTCGCGGGTTCCCATGATCAACGTACCAGAAATGGCGTTTTGGAAGGATTCGCTGCGTTGAAGTACCAGCCATGGCGTTCTGGCACGATTCTGGATCGTCAAGACGCAGCAGTCAGGTTGATACGTGGCGCTGAAACCCCGAAAACAATGTTTCGGCACGCTTCAAGATCTTCAAACTGTTGTCTTCGAACGAAGCAGTTCCCTCAATGGACATAAACCGTTGTAGGGGCCTATGAAGCGGGAGCTTGGAGGGAGGCTTAATTGATTCAAACATCGTTGCTGACTCTTGGGTTTCCACTGGTCCTCCTCCTCCTCCTCCTCCTCCTCCTCCCCTCGTCCTTCTCCTACTCCTCCTCCTCCTCCTCCTCGTCCTCCTCCTCCTCCTCTTCCTCTTCTTCTTCCTCCTCCTCCTCCTCCTTCTCCTCCTCCTCCTCCTCCTCCTGCTCATGCTCCAAATCTCTAGCGCTAATTGCCAAATCTCCTTCATCCTTCCACACCCACCTCCTCCTCCTCCTCCATGGTCCACCTCCCTCCACCACTCCTCCTCCCCCTCCTACTCCTTCCCATCATCATCATCATCATCATCATCATCATCATCATCATCATCATCATCAACAACAAGAACAACAACAACAACAACAACCTCATCATCGTCATCAGCAGCAGCAGCATCCTCCTCCTCATCGTCATCATCATCATCACCATCACCATCACCACAACCATCAGCAGCAGCATAATCATCGTCATCAGCATCATCAGCATCAACATCAGTAGTATCATCATCTGCATTATTGTAATCATCATCATGATCGTGATCATAATCATAGGCATCAGCAGCATCAGCATTAGCACCATGAATATAATCTGAATTGTCCCCATGTTCATCCTCATCTTCATCCTCATCCTCATCCTCATCCTCATCCTCACCCTCATCATCATCATCATCATCATCATCATCATCAGCATCATCATCATCATCATCATCATCATCGTCGTCATCGTCATCGTCATTGTCACCGTCATCGTCATCGTCATCGTCATCATCATCGTCCTCGTCCTCGTCCTCGTCCTCATCATCATCATCATCACCACTACCACAATCATCAGGATAGTCAGCATCATCATAATCATCATCATCGTCGCCGTCGTCGGAATGATCATCGTCATCATCATCATCATCATCATCATCACCATCACCATACCATCACCATCACCATCACCACCACCGCCGTCATCATCATCATCAACAACAGCAAGAACAACAACAAAACCAACAGCAACAACAGCGACAACAACAACAACAACGACAACAGCATCGTCATCGCCATCGCCATCACTACCATCATCATCATCATCAGAATCATCATCATCCTCATCGTCATCATCATCAGCATCATCGTCCTCGTCCTCGTCCTCGTCCTTTTCTTCCACACCTTTCATAACATATAACTCCTCCCTGTCGCACCGCAAGGCGTGCCAGTAGCGCGGACTGGGCGTGTCGCCTGAGACTTCCTAAACTATGTATGGTCCTGCAGCTGACGATTTGCAGAATTTCCACGGATGCAGGGCGGGCCGCTTTCAAAGTGTGGCTCTCGCCTCAGCGCCACGCGCGTTCGTCCTGAAAGTCTGCAGCAGTTTCACGGGTGGAGGGCAGGATCTTTTCAATATGCGGCTCTCGCCTAGGCGCCGCGCGCAATCGTTTCAAAGAAACTTACAACGTCCTAAAGGTTTGCGGCAGTTTCACGGATGGAGGGCGGTATCTTGTCAAAACGTGCCTCTCGCCAAAGCGCCGCGCACATTCGTCCTAAGAGTTTACACTACAGCTTCAGGGATTCTCATGGCTGACGTCCCCGAAATGATATTCTGGTGCGATGTGAAGCTGTCAGGGCGAAACGGTTACGTATGTTGATTCGCGGTGTTGAAAGCCCAGGAACGGCGTTCCTGCACGATTCAGGATCGTCCGGACGCAACAGTAACGTTGATTCGCGGCGTTGAACTCGCAGGAATGTTGTTCTGGCACGGCTCAGGATTTTCAGACGGTTGCCCACGGGGCACTTCCCTGACTGAAAATGACTCCTTGCATGGACCTGCCAAGGAGGAGCTTGGAGGGAGGGTATACTGCAGCATGGTTGATGGGTCTTGGGCTTACACTGGTCCTCCTCCTCCTCCTCCTCCTCCTCCTCCTCCTCCTCCTCCTCCTCCTCCTCCCCTCGTCCTTCTCCTACTCCTCCTCCTCCTCCTCGTCCTCCTCCTCCTCTTCTTCTTCTTCCTCCTCCTCCTCCTCCTCCTCCTCCTCCTCCTCCTCCTCGTGACGTGGGCGCTGGCCTGCACCCCGTAGCCAGTCTTCTCGTCGTTTGCCCACTCGCCTCGCCCCTGGCCCCCCGCCGCGGGCGCGTCGGGGCGCGGGCGGGCCCGGCGGCGGCCCGCAGGAGCGCGGGGGGCATGCTCAACCAACAACCAGAGACGCCTCCCCCTCCTCCTCCTCCTCCTCCTCCTCCTCCTCCTCCTCGTCCTCCTCCTCCTCCTCCTCCCTCCTCCTCCTCCTCCTCCTCCTCCTCCTCCTCCTCCTCCTCCCCCTCCCCCTCCTCCTCAACGAACCACTGCAGCCAAGCAGGGTCAGCAACTCCAGCATGCCCGGCGTGATCCAAACTGACTGTGTCACGGAGTACAGTCCTTGCCGAGGGGGATTGCCGGGGACGGAGGCTGCCGGTGGAGGCTCGGAGCCCCAGGTTCGCAGGAGGTTCGAGGCTCAAAGTTTGAAGTGAACGTCCGAGGTTCGAGCACCGAGCTTCAACGAACGAGGATCAAGTCTCGAGCATCGATTTTGCTTTCTTTAAAACAAAAAAAGAAGGCATCTGGAAGCCTCCTCCTCGCCACGGCTGGACTCCCCTCGGGATTGTGGTCAGAGCTTACCCTCGAAGGGTCGGCCTCTCAAGGCAACCTGCCTGCGTGCATCGCACCCCGCGCCCCTCGATTGGCAGTCGGCTTCGCGCCCTCGCGCCCTCGCGCCGCCCCTCCAAGAAGGGCAGCCGTTCTGGCCCAGACCGTGGCGCGCAAAGCGCGGTTATATTCGCGCCCCCAGGGGAGCAAAACTGGAACCGACTGAAGGGAAACAGACGATGACAACGACGCCAGATGCACTCCCAAGAACCTCGATCCTGGATCTTTGTCGATCCTCCTCCTCCTCCTCCTCCTCCTCCTCCTCCTCCTCCTCCCCCTCCTCCTCCTCCTCCTGCTCCTCCTCCTCTCCTCCTCCTCCTCCTCCTCCTCCTCCTTCTCCTCCTCCGCCTCCTCCGCCTCCTCCGCCTCCTCCTCCTCCTCCTCCTCCTCCTCCTCATCCTCATCCTCATCCTCATCCTCATCCTCATCCTCTTCCTTCTCCTCCTCCTCTTTCCTGCTCGCCACCACCCGTCCTCCCTCGTCTTCGTCCTCGTCCGCGTTGTCGTTTTCCTCATCCCACTCGTCATCCTCGTCATTACCGTCTTCACCACCATCACCACCACCACCACCACCACCACCATCATCATCATCATCACCACCACCACCACCACCACCACCATCATCATCATCATCATCAGCATCATCATTATCCTCGGCATCAGCATCAGCATCAGCATCAGCATCAGCATCATCATCATCATCCTCATCATCATCATCATCATCATCATCGTCAGCATAAAGAATATCATCATTATCAGCATCATTATCACCATCATCAACAGCAACAACCGCTTCATCATTGTCACGATGATCATCATCAGAATCACTATTCACAGCAGCATCACAATCGGCAGCATGGGCAGCAGCAGAGTCCCCAACATCCACTCATCATCTTCATCATCATGATCACAATCGTCGTCCTCATCGTCAGTAGCAGCAGCATCCTCAACATCATCATCATCATCATCATCATCATCATCATCATCATCATCATCATCATAATACTCATCATCATCATAATACTCATCATCGTCGTCATCATCATCATCATCATCACCATCACCACCACCACCACCGTCATCATCACATAAGAGTATTAATCACCCTCCTCCTCCTCCTTCTCATCATCCACCTCATCGTCCTCATCCTCATCATCATCATCATCCTCATTCTCATCCTCAACCTAGTATCATCAGCATCAACAGCATCATCATAATCATTACCACCATCATCATCATCAGCAGCATCATCATCATCATCATAACATCATAAGCATCATCGTCGTCGTCGTCACCATCACAATCACAATCGCCATCAACACCAACACCACCATCATCACCATCGTCGTCGCCGTCGTCATCATCATCACCATAAGCATCATCACCACAACCACCAGCACAATCATAATCAGAGTATCAATCACCCTCCTCCTCCTCCTCCTTATCATCGTCATCGTCATCATCATCAGAATCATCATCACCATCATCCTCATCCTTATCATCAGCATCATAACATCATCAGCATCATCATCATCCTCATCACCATCATCGTCGAAATACTCGTCATCATCATCAGCATCGGCGTCGTCATCAGCATCACCATCACCATCAGCACCACCACCATCACAATCACAATCAGCATGAGCATCATCATCATGATCAGCATCATCATCACCATCATCGTCGTCGTAATCATGAGTATCATCAGCAGCAGCATCATCAGCAGCAGCGTCAGTAACAGCTGCAGGATCCTCGACAACATCATCAGAATCATCACCGTCATCATCACCATCACCATCACCATCACAATCATGATCATCATCACCACCACCACCACCACCACCGTCATCATCATAATAAGAAAATCAGTCACCCTCACCCTCCTCCTCCTCCTCCTCCTCCTCCTCCTCCCCCTTATCATCATCAGCAGCATCAACGGCATCATCACCAACAGCATCACCAACATCATCATCCTCGTCATCATCACAATCATCATCAACAACATCATCATCATCATCATTGTCATCATGATGATTATCATCATCATTGTCATCAACAGCGTCGTCGTCACAATCACCACCACCAGCACCACCATCATCATGATCGTCATCATCATCAGCATCATCATGACCATCATCATCACCATCATCCCAGCCAACAGCAGAAACATCATCATCATCATCATCATCATCATCATCAACACCAGCAGCATCATCAGCAGAAGAATCCTCCTCCTCAACATCATCATCAGCACCATCATCATCAGCATCATCACCACCACCATTGCTATTCTCATATTCACAATGTCAATCACCTTCCTCATCATAATCAGCATCATCCGAATCAGCATCAGCATCATCACATCACCATCCTCATCCGCTTCATCCTCATTCATCATCATCACCAGCATCCTCATCAACACTCTGATCGTCATCGTCATCATCATCACCATAATCCTCATGCTCATCCTCATCATTATCATCATTATCCTTTATCCTCATCATCATCGTCGCCGTCGCCATCCTCATCATCGTCATCGTCGTCGTCACCATCACCATCACCACCACCACCACCATCATCATGATCGTCATCATCGTCGTCGTCGTTATCATCATGATCATCATCAGCATCATCATAAGCATCATCATTGTCATCACCATCGTCATCATCATCACCATCGTCATCATCATCATCATCACTATCATCATCATCATCATCATCATCATCATCATCATCATCATCATCATCATCATCATCATCATCGTCATCGTCATCGTCATCATCATCATCATCATTAATTCAGCGTCTGGCGGGAGCGCCGCCCTCACCCCGAGGGCGGGTCCGCATGGGACGCGGGCGCTTGCCTTGGGAACATTCGGCGGCGCGTTTCGAACACGGGGGCGGGCTGCACCCCCCAACACTCGGCGCCGTCGATCAAAACCAAGGGCCCCCCCAACCCCCCCTCTTCCCGAATGCCCCCTCCCCTCCCAAGCTGGGGGGGGGTTGAACCCACCCCCCCCCCCTGGCGGCGGCGCCGGCGGCCGCCAGCAGCACCGACGGCGGGGACGCAGTGACGATGACCAGAGGGGGCGGAGAGGCTTCACCCCCCCCCCACCATGGCGCCGAAAGGAGGGGGTTGAAACCCCCCTCCGCCCCCCCCCCTGGCGACGGCGGGGACGCAGCGACGATAACCACCACTACCACCACCACCGCTACCACCACCACCGTCTCAACCCCACCACCACCTTCAACCCACCACACAACCAACACCACCACCACCACAGCCACCACCACCACCACAACCACCACCACCACAACTCACCAATACCACCACCACAAAAACCCACCACCCTACCACCACCACTACCACCACCACCCACACTACACCCACCACCACCACCGCCACAACCACCACCACCCACAACCCCCACCACCACCACAAACCACCACACCACCACCACACCACCGCCACCGCCACCACCATCACCACCACCACAAACCACCGCCACCACCACAACCCACCACCACCACCATAAACCACCACCACCACCACCACCAACACACCACCACCACCACCACAACCCACCACCGCCACCACCACCACCACAAACCACCACCACACCACCACCAAACCACCACCACCACCACCACCTCCCACCACCACAACCACCACCACTACAACAAACCACCACACCACCACCACCACCACAACCACCACCACCACCACCACAACCACAACCCACCACCACCACCACCACCACCGTCCTCGTCGACGCCGCCGCCGCCGCCCGCCGCCGCAGGCGCCAGCAGCGCCGGCCCAGAAAAGGAAATCGTCGTCCCCGCCGCCGCCGCCAGCCGCCGCCGCCGCCAGCCGCCGCCGCCGCCAGGGGGGGAGAAGGGGGGGGATTCGACCCCCCCGCCCTCCGTCACGGGAGGAGGGGGGGGGTGTTCGAAACCCCCCCCCTACATCCAGGGGGTGCGGGGGGGGTCCCGTTCCAACCCCCCCCCCTCCAAGCGACCACAGAACGCGCTCTTTCCGACATCGGAACTCTGCGTAACCCCAACCGTCCATGGATTCTCGGATTTCGCCACGCGTTGGCCGAATTCTGAACCCTACCCCCGCCGCCCGTCGAGTTGCCTGAATCGTTGATCGGCGAGGGATCGGAGTTCGCTGCCGATCCTTACCCCTGCGTCCTCCCAAGAGGGGGGGGGGGGGCAAAGTCCGGGACGACCGAGCCGACAGGCTGCCAGGGCCCAGCAGGCCCTGGCCCACCATCGTCATCGTCATCGCCATCGTCGTCATCGCACCACATCCTGATCGCCGCCATCATCATCGAAAACGCCGCCATCATCATCATCATCATCATCATCATCATCATCATCATCATCATCATCATCATCATCATCATCATCATCATCATCTCATCCTCATCCTCATCCTCATCCTCATCCTCATCCTCATCATCATCATCATCATCATCATCATCATCATCATCATCATCATCATCATCATCATCATCATCATCATGATCATGATCATCATCATCATCATCATCATCATGATCCTCATCATCATCATCATCCTCATCATCATCATCATCATCATCACCACTACCATCATCATCATCATCATCATCAGCAACAGCATCATCATCAGCATCAGCATCAGCATCAACATAAGCATCATCATCATCATGATCCTCATCATCATCATGATCATCATCATCATCATCATCATCATCATCATCATCATCATCATCATCAATCAATCAATCAATCAATCAATCAATCATCATCATCATGATCATCATCATCATCATCATCATCATCATCATCATCATCATGATCATCGTCATCGTCATCATCAGCATCAGCATCAGCAGCAGCAGCAGCATCAGCATCAGCATCATCAGCAGCATCTGCATCATCATCAGCATCAGCACAATCAGAATCATCAGCAGCATCAACAGCATCTCTATCGTCACCGTCGACATCATCGTCACCAGCACCAGCTTCCTCACCGTACCGTTCCCCTCCCCGGATAACCGACGCCATGCTTTCGTCATGACGTGACCCCCAGGAGGCCTGGACCCCTTCCGAGGCACGGGCACTCCATCCCGCGTCGCTGTTTGACGGTGCCGAGGCCGAGCGAGCCCAAGGCTCCCAACTTCGCGCTTCGCGCTCCGCGAAGCGCGAAGCGCGAACAACTTCGCGCTCTCGCGCCACCCCCCCAAAGGGATAAAAGGAGGACGAGGAGGAGGAGGGGGAGAAGGAACGAGGACCGTGAAGCGCGAAGCGCGAAGATTCGCGCCCTCGTGGGAGCCAATAGCGAAACCCCGTCCGTCGTGGTTTACTCACGACGCGAGAGGGTCTGGATCCTCAACACCAACCATCAAGCATGCTCGCCCCCTGCCCCCCCCCCCAACCGTGGTAACTGGCACCCTTCGTGCGGACGGCGGTCTTGGACCCATCCTCCGGGGCGAGCCGCGGCGGCAGCGGCACGCGAAGGCGCGCGCCGGAGGGACGGCGTCAGGGGCTGGCAGGAGGCCCCGAGGGCAGACGAGCGGGCGAGGGGATGGCGGAAGGCGGAGGGTTGTGGATGCCACGACACCGGACACCCCAACAATCCTATCATGGAATTGAACATGTGTTTCAAATGTCGGGGAAATGTTCAAAACAAGGTTGAAAGCATGCTTCTGGACATGTTTAAGACATGTTTGGAGCATTGTTTACACATCTAGAACTTTTTAGGCAACATGCTTCCTCTCCATTGATCGTCGTCCGCCAGCGGAGGGAAGGAGGAAGGACGGGGGAGACTGGGAGAGGGACGGGACTTCTTACTCGACGAACGGGGCCGTGCGCTGAAGATGTGAGAACACTGAACTGGTGCAGCCCGTCGCCGGATCGGTGGCCCGTCCCTGATCCTGTCCCGGCAGCTGTGCCGGCCGGTGCGCACGAGCGATGCTACGAGCTGCGACACACAGCACGCGGCGGAGGCAGGCTGCAAGAGAGTCGAGTGCACTGCGCCGCTCGAGGAGGCTTCCCTGTGTTTGCACGGCGCGAGGAAGAAGGAGGGGGAGGAGGAGGAGGAGGAGGAGGAGGAGGAGGAGGAGGAGGAGGAGGAGGAGGAGGGAGGAGGAAGAGGAGGAGGAGGAGGAGGAGGAGGAGGAGGAGGAGCAGTGCAAACCCAAGACTCATCAACGATGTTGGGGTACACCCTCCCTCCAAGCTCCCTCTTCATCGGCCCCTACAGAAGGTTCACTCTCACTGAGGTAAGTGCACCATTGAGGGGCAACCGTGTGAAAATCTTGACGCGTGCCAGAACACCATTCTCAGGACTTCAGCACCACGAGTCAACCTGACGGTTGCATCTTGACGATCCTGAGTCGTGCCAGACACCATTCTTGAGACTTCCACACCGCGAATCAACGTAACTGTTGTGCCCTGGCAATCCTGAACCGTTCCAAAACACCATTTCTGGAAGGCGAACCATGAGAACCCGTAAAACCATGCAGTCTCTTAAGACGAATGTGCGCGGCGCGAAGGCGAGAACCTCATGTTGACAAAGAACCGCCCTCAATCTGTGAAGTTCTGGCAATCATTCAAAACAAATGCACGCGGCGCTAATGCGAGAGCCACATGTCGAAAACGATCTGTCCTCAATCCGTGAAGCTCCTGCAAATGTTCAAAACGAGAATGCACGGCGCCACAGCGAGAGCCGTACTCTGGAAACGGCCCGACCTCAATACGTGAAACTCTTGCAGATGTTTAACACCAGTGTGCGCGGCGCTACGGCGAAAACCGCATTCAGAAAACGAACCGCCCTCAATCCGTTAAGCTCTGGCAAATGTTTAAAACGAATGCGCGCGGCACTACGGTACGCCCTCGCCAGGGCCAGGGCCCAGTCCATCACGGTGGAAGGAGAATGAGGAGGAGGACAATGAGACGGAGGAGGACGAGGATGACAATGCGGACAAGGAGGAGGAGGAAGAGGATGCGGAGGATCCAAAACAGCAGGACGAGGAGGAATTAGGAAGAGGACGCGGGACGCAAACGAACATGAGAGGGGAGAAGAAGAGGACGGCGGACGAGGAGAAGGAGGAGAAGGAGGATTCAGAGGGAAGAGGATCAGGGAGGAAGAGGAGGAGGAGGATTGAGACTCAAGATTTCATCGAGATTTGAGGATGGAAAAGGATCGAGAATGAGGATCGAGGTTCGATCGAGGTTCCAGGGTCGAGCGACGGTGGAGATTCGATCGAGGATCCCGGTTCGAGGTTCGATCGTCGATCGAGGATAGAGATTTCCTCGAGGATCGATCGACAATCGAAGATCGAGGATCCAGAGTCGAGGATCCAGTTTCGATCCGCACTCGATGATCGAGCTTCGAACCAATTCCAGGGTCGAGCGACGGTGGAGGTTCGATCGAGGATCCCGGTTCGAGGTTCGATCGTCGATCGAGGATCGCGATTTCCTCGAGGATCGAACGACGATCGAAGATCGAGGATCCAGAGTCGAAGATCCAGTTTCGATCCGCGCTCGATGATCGAGCTTCGAACCAATTCCATGGTCGAGCGACGGTGGAGGTTCGATCGAGGATCCCGGTTCGAGGCTCGATCGTCGATCGAGGATCGAGATTTCCTCGAGGATCGCACGACGATCGAAGATCGAGGATCCAGAGTCGAGGATCCAGGTTCGACCCGCGCTCGACGATCGAGCGTCGAAACAGTTCCAGGGTCCAGCGACGGTGGAGATTCGATCGAGGATCCCGGTTCGAGGTTCGATCGTCGATCGAGGATAGAGATTTCCTCGAGGATCAAACGACGATCGAAGATCGAGGATCCAGAGTCGAGGATCCAGTTTCGATCCGCACTCGATGATCGAGCTTCGAACCAATTCCAGGGTCGAGCGACGGTGGAGGTTCGATCGAGGATCCCGGTTCGAGGTTCGATCGTCGATCGAGGATCGAGATTTCCTCGAGGATCGAACGACGATCGAAGATCGAGGATCCAGAGTCGAGGATCCAGTTTCGATCCGCGCTCGACGATCGAGCTTCGATCCAGGATAGAGTTTCGACCGAGGGTCGAAGTTCGATCGAAGATGGAGGATCGGGGTTGCATCGAGGATCGAGGATCGAGTCGAGGATCGAGTTTCGATCCACGCTCGTTGATCGAGGAAGGAAAAGGACGAGGAAGGAGGACGAGGAGGGAGGAGGACGAGAAAGAAGGGGAGGAGGAGGAGGAGGAGGAGGAGGAGGAGGAGGAGGAGGAAGAGGAGGAGGAGGAGGAGGAGGAGGAGGAGGAGGAGGAGGAGGAAGGACACCGAGGCGGAGAAGGGATGAGGACGAGGAGGGAAGAGCACGAGGAAGAGGAGGAGGAGGGAGGAGGGCGGGAAGGACGCAGACGGGCAGGAAGCATGACGAGGAGGAGGGAGGGAGGGAGGGAGGTATGGAGGCAGGGAAGCAGGGAGGGCGGGAGGGCGGGGCGAGGGAAAGAGGGAGGGGGGGAGAGAGCGATGGAACAGGAGCATGATGGGACGTGTTTGGGTGTCCCTGGGGCCCGACCGCCACCCCCGGAGGAGGACGGCCGCGCTCGGGGCTCCCATCGTCGCCGCGGCTGGAGTTTGCTGGACCGATACGCAACGCGCAACTTTTTTTTGATCTGCAGGGCGAGAGCGAACCTCTTCCGCTGAAAGCTACGCGGGACGCGCACAGCATTAATTGGCAAGAAAACGCAACGCGCAACACGGACAATGGAAACTCCATGGTGCTGTTGCCCTTCCTCCTCCCTGGCCCGTGCCCCAGATCACGCGTCGCTGGCCAGCTCTGGGGAAGGGGGGCGATGACGACGACGAAGACGACCACGACGACGACGATGACGACCGCCACGGGGACGCCGCAATCCAATCCCAGGGAAAGCGAGGGCTCTTCCTGATACTACTACTTGTGACACTCAAATGCCGTTCAACAGACTCTGCGGCGCGGCGGCCTTTCAACTAACTCTACAATCAGACAGGGCAATCATATCACAACTGCATTGGCTGACGACGACGACGACGACGACGACGACGACGACGACGGCGACGGCGGGGACGCCGCAGACCAGCCCAAGGGAAGGCGAGGACTCTTCTCCGTACCACTTGTGACAGTCACATGCCACACTGGGCACTTGGCGGCGTGAACACAGTTCTACGAACTCTACTATCAGACAGGACAATCATATAACAAATGCCCTGGCTGACCACACCTGAAGCAACGACCCAGCAAGTCCGCAGCAGCACTCGCCGCGGCCCCTCCGCACAAACCACTGCTCATGCTCACCGCCTCGTGGGGGCAGATGGCTCCCAGCCCGCCGAGCCTCTCGGCATCTGCCATGCCACTCACGCGGCAGGGGGCAGCGGGGGGGGCTCATCCCGCACCGCCCAAACCCACTGCGCCCAGCACTTACTGCACGGCTCGTTATGCGGGCACGTGGCGGGGTCGAAGAAGCGCGCCAGCACCACGCACCGCACGCGGCTGCCCATCTGGGCCGTCTCCTTCGACTGCCGAAGATGCCGCGCAGAGGATTGGCAAATCGTTCCTGAACATGTACTTATTCGCCCCCTTCTCCGCCTTCGGCACTGCGATCTCGACGCCCCCCGTCTCGACCAGGTCCTCGGCAGCGCCCCGAGGCATCAACGCAGAGCCCCACTCGAAGTCGCCCTGTTCGCCCCCCCGCCACCACCACCAAGACAGGGTTACGTTGCTTGGCGCGGCCCATATCGAGGGCAAGAAAGATCACCCTCTGCACTTCACGCTCGGCGCAGCCGTCGCGCTGGACCACGTCGTCCGCGGCCGCCGCCCACCGCCCTGGGGTCTCGCGCGTGCGGGGGCCCTCCGCGGCGGCGACCAGGATCTACGCGCGCGTCATCAAGCGCCGCGCCGCGGCCGCCACGGCGCCGGCGAGTCGGCGGACGCGCTCGACGAGCTCGCCGAGGTCTTTCCGCGACCGAACGAACTTCCGCAGTGCCCCGTTGTCCTTCCCAGCCCCAATACTCGCGTAGCGCGGCAAGTCGCCCTCCCTCTCGAAGAACGCGCGCTGGCGCAGTAAATCGCCCAGGTCGAGCACCGCGAAAGACTCCGCCCCCCGGCGCTCGGCCCCGCCCCCGCGGGCAGCGCGCGCGCCCCAACGCCCGCGGAGGTGCTCCAGCGGCGCCGGGGGGAGCGCGCCCCCGCCCAGGTGCCCTGGGGAATACCACGCGGCGGCGCCAAGCTCTGCCGCAGGCTTCTTGGCCGCGGCGCCGCGCACGCAATCGCGCATCGCCCGGCAGCACTGGTGCTCGGCCACGCGCGCCTGGGGGGTCGGCCCAGGGCGCAGACTAGCTAGTCTGCCCCCTAGTCTGCTACCTTGTCAGCACCCTAGTCTGCAGGCCGCCTGTATATGGCTTTCCATGAGGTCGAGCGCAGCCTGCCCACTCTGTAGACTAGACCGGTTCGG